CAGCTACGACGAGGGCTAGGTTCTTCACAAAAGATTAATTCCTGGAGAATACTGCCACAGGACCCGCTGGCTTTGTGCGATAAGTTCCAATTTGTTGTCCGCTGGAGTGTCTCTAAGCCAGCAACTCTCCTGATTCCTTCTGAAATTTTCCATTTCTTCTTCTTCACTTCTAGGTCTTTCTCCATGATGTGTTCTGCCCAGAAATTAGTTTGCGTTCCTTCTTTTCCATTTAGCGCCTCAGCCTGCGGGTGTTAAGCACAGCAGTAATGATGTAAGTGATACAAGCAAGTTTCTCAAGTGGTAGAAACACCTTCTCTTAACGGCACTCGCCTTCTCTCGGCCCTCCAGGGAAAAGTCTGAACTTTCAGCCCGTTGGGCCACAACCAAAGAATGGAGAATTTAGAATCAGGAATCCATATAGCTGGAGGGATCTCAGTTCTTTTTAAATGAGGAAACAAATCAAGTAGGTTTGTTCTGGGACTTGCTGCTTCTTCCCAGCAGAAGCCGGCAAAAGACATCTCCACAGAGGGCAAGTCAGAACTGTTTTTCCTATTCAGTGCCATAGACTCTTTTTTTTTTTTTTTTGGTCTGCATGGGAACTTGTTGCAGCAAGTGGGATCTTTTAGTTGTGGCTTGTGGGACCTAGTTCCCTGACCAGGGATCAAACCCAGGCCCCTGCATTTAGAGTGCAGAATCTTAGCCACTGGACCACCAGGGAAGTCCCTCACTTTGATTTTTTTTTAGAGTCAGTCGTGTTGTGCTAGGGTAGATCCATCCTAGGTGTCAAACACCTTCATGGCCCAAGATCTTGCTGGTGATTTCACCCTTTGATGGACCCTCCCTTTCCCCAGCCCCAGACAAACCTCTCTTCATTTATTTCAAGATCTGCTGGATCTGAAAGGAGTTTTGGGTCGGGGATTTAGAACACAGTCTGAAAAGAAGCAAAGCTGATTTAGTTCATGTTGTGTGCTTGGTAATTAGCCTTGTGAGGTGAACTTGATAACCACTTCACTACAGAAACGGTAATCAGCCTCAGAGTAACAAATGCTGTCTGCACCAGCGCAGCTCTGTGCCCAGTGCCAAAACCACATTTTGCTGCTGATTCCAATGAGAAGTTTCTGCCCCAGAGAAGTTCAATATTAGGCCCCCAAGGCCACAGTCATTGTGTATAACACGACAGACTGTTCATCTCTTCCTGGCCTTCTTTAAGGCAGAAAGAATTCAAAATCCAGACTAAAAACCAACTGCAGACCACCTTTCAGGCTCTTATAAGCTTCCAGAATTACAGTGAGAGACTGCTCAATGTCCAGGAAAGGTACTCTAGCTAAAATGGTTCTGAAATAGTTTTCACCTCTGGAAGTCCAGCTTTCAAAATTCATGTCTGACAGAAACCATTGTCCTAAATGACAGCATTCTGGGGAGGGCACATAAGTTTCAGGGAAGCAAGAAGGATTACCATCAGGTGGTAAATGGTTACCACTACCTTCAGAAAATGAAAGTGAAGTTGCTCAGTTATGTCCAACTCTTTGGAGACCCCATGGACTGTAGCCCACCAGGCTCCTCTGTCCATAGGATTCTCCAGGCAAGAATACTGGAGTGGGTTACCATTTCCTTCTCCAGGGGATCTTCCCGACCAAGGGATTGAACCCAGGTCTCCTGCATTGCATGCAGATGCTTTAACCTCTGAGCCACCAGGGAAGCCCCTTCAGAAAATGAGAAGAGGGTATAAAGGAGTTATGACATTAATCAGGATAAAGAGACCACACTCTCTCCCCCTGACCCCCCAAAATAGTAAAAAGTCTTATATAACTTCCCTGAAGTGCTCTAATGCACAAATGCAAAGCATGCTTTTTGCCTGCTGCAGGCTGACCGCAGTACTGCCTTCGGGGGAGATAACCACATCACAGATGAGACTGGGCTTTGGCTCTGGGGTAGAACTCAGGGTTCCTCAGAGGACAGGCTATTATGACTTTACTCTGTCATTTAAAAATCTTAACTTTAAAAGCTGCATCTGTTGGTGTAGCCACTACAGAGAATTCTAGGACTCCCATTTAAGAAATTTTCACAGGCAGGAATGAAGACTGGCCAGCAGCAGAGGCCTGCCAGAGAACACTTGGTGGCTTCCTAACCTCGCTTCAGATGCTGGCCAGGTCTCTGGGTGGTTTAGATGTACCCCCCAGCGCCATTAAAGATCAGGAGCTAGATCTCAAGAAAAGTTCCTGAAAATTTTCCCTTCTGCTGCCAAGAGGGAAGTTAACACAGCAGAATCACTGCAACAGAGTTAAATCAGCTTTATCCTGGAGGAAACAAAATAGCTTTCCTCAAACGTTGTAAGAGTGACTTATCTTTTCCAGATTAGCCCATGGACTTTATCACAACGAGCCAAAATCTGCCACCAGCCCAAGCAATGTGGCATCATGCACAGCAGCCAAATCTTACGGGTAGTATTTGTAGCTTGTGTACCCTGACTGCATCAGGAGAGGGGTTTCCAAGTAGTGACAGAAGGTTGTTCATTTGTGATTTGCCAAGTTCTCCACATTCTTACTGACTGGCTGTTTAAATCCCTTTTTCAGCCCAGAGCAACTTCACTGAGCAAGCAGGGAGCGGGGAGTTGCTTCAGTGCTTTATCTTACACGGTGGATCCTGAACGAGTCACATTTATGACAGTTTTCAAAAACAAAACCACCCTAGCTTTGTAGAGGGCCTGGGAAAAAGTCTTGGGTGTAGAAACTGTTTTTTTTTTTTTTTTTTTACCATAGTTTGCAAGAGAATGGTGCATCTGGGTCTTCTCTTAACCCAAGCCTCCCAACTCAGAGAACCTTCTCTATCTGGTTCAGTTACTTTTTCTTGGATGATTCAGGTACAAGCTCCCAAGCAAAATAACCACCAGAGAAACACAGATTTCACACATGGCAGAATCATTTCAAAGTTTGGTTATTTTAATGCAATTTCACTGTTCAAGGTAGTATGGATATGTTAAGTGGTTCATTTTCATCCTGCAGAAAACACTAAGAGTTTCTACCTTATGTAATTTTGTGAAATTCAAACATGACTCGTTGACTTTTTTTTTTTTTTTAAACATTTTCTTTACATAGCTTGACAAGATTTTTTTCTGGAACATTTTTTTTTAAACCTTCAAGTAGTTTGGAAACATTTGCCTATTTGCTCCTTCCTCTGGGCACAGCCTTTCAGTGTGTTTATCTCACCTGTATTGAGAAAAATCTCTGTTCTCCCAGTGGTGGCAGAGCTGCTTGACAAGAGGTGATCACAGAGAAATGAGGAGCAAGCAAGCTTTGTCAACTACTTCTAATTCTCTTAATTAGTATGCTACGATCCACCCCAGCTTCTGCAAGGTCAGACATGCACAACAAGTACTTGGCCAAAAAAGCAGGATTCTAACTAGTGTAAAAATAGATTTTAAATAAAATAGAATCTCTATAGGAAAGAGAATTAGGTTAGCTTCCCATTCCCACTTTTGCTTTAAGATACCTGTGTATATATATATAAGTCCAAGGGGGACTTGTGGAATTGGTTTGCCCTAAGAAAAAATTGAGAATGTCTGAGTACATTCATGTTGCAGTTACAGAGAAGGTTCTTTGGGAAATGCTGTGGCAGACCCCACAGAAACTCATTGTGATTAGCCATACAGTTGGTGTGTGAAGAAGTGACACGGAAGACTTTTGGAGGATGAGGCCTAATCATAGGCTAAAAACCAGTTCTGAAGTGTGATCATTTGAAAACTTTGTCTAATTATAAAAACAGAAAAGAAAATCCATCATTTAACAGTGTGTCTTGTTAACCTATACAGCTACCTCTTTTGGAAGCTAAATTCCAACACAGGTCTTACTTTAATTTTGCTTAATTACCACATATTGCAAGGTTTTTTTTGGACATTTCTGTTTCTAGAAAAAGTACACAGACCTTCTGTTGGCCCATATAAGCATTACATGACTGTTTTAAAGGGGCCTCTGTTAAAATTCTAATTTTTGAATTTAGCAACAGCCTTTTGGATATATCTTGAAAGTGTAACTGCAGATCTGCCCAAGCTCCTCTAGTCACAATCGAAACATGTAGCCCAATTTTCTGTAAACACTCAGAAAATACTGATCCCAACAAAATACAGTCAGCCAGTCTGAGGCCTTGCTCATACCTTTTCACATGGATGATAAATCTGCCTGCTTATTCTTGCTGGATGTTAGGAAATCCACTGAGATTTGAATCTTAGAGCAAAAATTAAGCCTCCTTCTCTGAGGTTCATAATGAGCTGTGGAGGCATCAAAAATAAACAAAGTGGGGACGTCACCAGTTTTCCTACACTGGGTCCACTCAGTATGCCCGGGGGCTGTTTGTTTTTCCTGGCAAGGCCTAGAGCAAGAGGAGATGGCTGCTGGTGACAAGCCAGTGCTGGGTTTACACACCGAGCCTCTTTTCATGTAACATTTAACCATTTCTTCAATTCCCCAGAGGCAAGAAGTGATGCCAATGATATGAGACTAATGCTAGGGCGTTTTCATAAATCCTTAGTGGCCAACAGGAGCCTCTCTCTCAAGCAACTGCTGTGATTTCTGGCAAGTTTGGTGCCTTAGGGCGAGGTAACATTACCTTTCAGGGGACACAAAAAAATCCGAGCTCTTAAACTGACCCCAGAACTGAAAGTCAAATACACCAACTCAATAAACACAACGGAAAAATGCACAGCAGCGTTGGGGCATCTATCAAATAGGAAGGCAAAATGGTCATCAGAACGTCTGAGATTAGTGAACTATCATGGTTGAGAAAAGCAGCCACCTTTGAAAACACTGCCTGTTTCCCTCAGCTCTCCTGGTCGTCAGCCTTCTACGGTCGTTACACCACACGCTAGCAAATGAAAGATCCAAACAACTGTGGCTTGATCCTGACTTATACTTATTCAGGGTCCACCCTCACAGTTAGCTGAAGGCCCCAGCATGCCCTCGCTGTGCTAGGGAGAACAGTCCTGGGGAAGTGCACCTCTCTGGAGATCACTTGCCCCTCTTGCTGCGGCCCTTTCTGGAGGACAGCTTCCCACTGCCCCCAGAAGATGGGGGGCTGGAGGCTGAGGCCATGGCAATGTTGATCTGTCCCTCCTGGATTTCCTGCCGGGTCTCAGCAGGCAGGTGGTTGATTTTCTGCTGCGTTTCCAGGTAGAACATGACATCCCGCAGCTGCTCCTGGATCTCGGTGATCTGCAGGTCCTTCTGGTCACAGGTCTCTTTTAACACCCTCTCCTCCTCCTTTAGCTTGTTCTGCAGGAGGACTTGATTGGCTCGCAAACACTTGTTCATTTCCTGCTCCTCTTTGAGCTCCGTGGTGAGTTTGGCCACTTTAGTGTTTAGCTGAGTGCACCTTTCACAAAAACAAAGGAAGACAATGCATGTTTTCCATTTGCTGACAGAGTCCCCTTTCTGCTCTGGGACTGAACAGAGAACATGACCTCAGAATCCACTTATGGCAGACCACTCCCTCCCATGGCCAAGGGGTCTGCTGCCATTGCAACAGCCATCTGAAATCAGAATTCTGCTTCGGTTAACTCAAGTGTAGCTTCGGGACAATATTTCAGGATCAGAGATTTTTCAATAGCAGAAACTATTCTGTGATTCATGGTAAAATGTCTACTGCTTCTCTGAATTGTTTACATGAGTGGCTTAGAGATGATAACTGTGATAAAGAAGTTATGAGGAAAAGTGACATTCTTAAAGAGTCAAGTGCTCTGACCTCACTGCATTTGCTGGAGAAGAGTCTTCAAGAAGAGGGAGTGCCTTACTGATGCTCAATCCTACTCACAAGTAAAGAATGACAAATTAAAACACCACTTGAAATACCATTTTTATGTATCAGAATGCCAGAGAGCTCAGATGTGGGAAAAGGGGACACTCCCACATGGTGGCACTGGAGTGTGAACTGCTACACACTCAATGGAAATCACCTTGGCAACATCTATGAAAATCAAAATTTCACCTGCCCTCTGACATAGCTATTCTACTTCCAAGAATTTATTCTATAAAATAAATATATTCAGGGTTGTACTAAATGACATATGGAGAAAGATGCTTATTGCAACATTGTTTATAGTAGTAAAACATGTCCATCAAGGGGAACTGGTTAAAATTATGATTTTCATACATGTTATAGGATATAGATCTAGGTGTACCAGTCCAAAGGAAAAAAAAAACCTCCAAAACAGAATATTTTACCAAATAGAATACCTAATATTATTCAATTTTTGTAGAAAAAAGATGTATGTGAGATGTTTATACAGGTACAGTAAAACAGCTCGAACAAGAAGTATTCACTGGTGCCATTAAGAACCTCTAGATCAAAAAAAAAACCTCTAGATCAGTGGTCCCCAACCTGTTTGGCACCAGGGACTGATTTCATGGAAGACAGTTTGTCCATGGACCAGGAAGTGAGGAGGGGCGGAGGGGACTGTTTCAGGATTATTCAAGAGCATTACATTTACTGTGCACTTTTTGTATTATTATTACATCAGGTCTACCTCAGATCATCAGGCATTAGATCCTAGAGGTTGGGTACCCATGCAGGATTTGGGAGTGAGAGAAAACTTTTTGTTTTAACTTTTAAATTATTTGGAACAGCTCAATTAGTTAGGGCACTGAAAGTATAAGAAACTTTTTTATTTTTATTTCTATTTATGTTGTAGTGTTGTTTTCACAACAGTTAACCCCTTTGGTGAAGTTTCTGTTGGAATGATGAAAAATAGTTGCACACTGTGAAGGTACCTCATGTCACTGACTGATAGACTTTAAATGATTAATATGGCAAAATCTATGTAATACAGATTTTACCACACACACACCACCCCCCACTACTAAAAATATCCAGTTATTTGCTAGGGGGAAAACAGGTGAAAGGTGTATGGAAATTCTTAGAACTATCGTTGCAACCTTTTTGTAAACCTTAATTTATTCCAAAATAAAAGATTAAAAAAACCCAAAAAACCTTCTTAAGGGACAATTATCCCCTTTATTTTTTATCCATTTGTCTGGAGGCAAAAAATCCAATTATTTTTGTGAGTCTAATTTACGCTAGAAAAGTAGTTTCATTTAGTAGCAATTATCTTCCCAAATAACAGTAGTAGAGAAGTACTGTTCTACAGTATTAGAGAACAGTAGTTCTTGCTATGTTGTTGATGAGTTTTTCGCTCCATATTCAGTATCTTTGCCTTTAACTCCCAAGCAAAGCCAGAAGACACACCATCTCCAGTTTAGATGTAAGTATCTTTCCTAACTGCCATTTCTCAGTCACCACGGCTCAGAGAGGCTCTGGGCAAAGGGAGATAGCTTTCTACAGGCAAAAATAGGAGACACTTGTGCACAGCATAAGCACAGTCATCAGGAGAGAGCCCTGTATTCCACATGGCATCCATCTGGCATGAAACACTGAATTTTTTACTAAACAGGAAGTCACAGTAGGTCTGCTCCATATATAGGGAGACCCTTGAAAACTTGGTGATACACAAACACTTGACAATAATGACTGCGTGTCCATGGGAATAAAGGAGATTCTCTGTTTATGGAGTCTGTTAGAATAAAATAGCTAATTAAAAGAACAGGTCAGTTATACCTACTTTCTTTCCACAGACTGCTTTTCTTTCAGGAGATCATTTAGTCTGTGCTCTAGATTATCACATTTCTCAATTGTTTCTTTAAATTTGGTCTTCATGTTGTTAATCTGAAAGAGTAAAAAGAGATCAGTTTTATTTCAAAGACAAAGCTGTGTGGCCTTTGGGGCTAACTTTACAATTTTCACCCCCTGACTACTTGTCTTTAACTTTGACAAACCAAACTTAGAAAAGGTGAGACCATTATCTGAAAGAATTTCTGCAACAGGAGTAAATATTTTGAGAACTCCCTTTTTTCTTACCATTTCTCTCAACCAGAATGAAGAGGGATCAAAAGCTACTGAATGTTGAGTGAAATTGCTAGAAGGTAAAGAGCTTCAGGCTGCAGAGCAGATGGTTTTGTCAGAAGCCAGACCAGAACCTCCCATTCTTTTTTTCTTTTAATTGAAGTGTAGCTTATTTGTAATATTATGGTAGTTTCATGTGTACAGCAAAGTGATCCAGTTATATATATATATATTTCAGATTATTTTCCATTATAGGTTATTATAAGATATTGAATATGATTCCCTGTGTTATACAGTACATCCTTCTTGCTTATCTATTTCAAATATAGTAGTGTGTATCAGTTAATTCCACACTCCCCTTCCTATCCTCTTTGGTAAATACAAATTTGTTTTCTGTATCTGTGAGCCTGTTTCTGTTTTGTAAATAGATTCATTTGTATTATTTTTTAAGATTTGGATGTAACTGATAATCATATAATCTTTGTCTTTCTTTGACTTACTTTATTTAATATGATAATCTCTAAGTCCATTCATATTACTGCAAATGGCATTATTTCATTCTTTTTTTATGGCTAAGTAGTATTCCATTGTATGTATGTACCACATCTTCATCTATTTATCTGTTGATGGACATTTAGGTTTCTTCTATTTGTATTGGATATTATAAATAGTGCTGCTATGAACACTGGGGTGCATTTATCTTTTCCGATTAGAGTTTACATCTTTTCCAGATATATGTTTAAGAATGGGATTGCATGATCGTATGGTAGCTCTATTTTTAATTTTTTTTAAGGAACCTCCATTCTGTCTTCCATAGTGACTGCACCAATTTACATTCCTATCAATAGTGTAGGAGGACAAGAATCTCCCATTTTTAACTCACTACTGTTTTTTACCTCTTGAGATCATATTCTAAAATTACACTTGACCCTTGAACGATGTGGGGGTTAGGGATCTCAACCCTCCTTAAAATTGAAAATCCGAGTGTAACTTTATCATCAGTGCTCTGAGGTTCTGCATCTGCAGATTTAACCATCTGTGGTTCCTGTAGTACTACAGTACTACATCCGCTGAAAAAAATCCACATGTAAGTGCAGTTCAAACCCATGCTGTTTAAGGGTCAACTGTATTATCCAAATAATCCAAAGGTACTTGTAACAGGTGATTCTAGCTGTTTGGTATTCTTTCCCCTCCAAACTCACTATTAATATTCTCACGTACTCTGAAGTCACATGCAAGATAACCAGTTCTTATTTTATTGAGTTTATATAAAGGCAATTTACAGAAAGAATTCATATTATATTGTCTTATGCCTCAATACCACTGGTCTAAAGACAGGAAGAAGATAGGTGGGTCATGAGGTATTAATAGTAGGAAACGGAAGTGACTGAGAGTTTAAATCCTATGGTTCAGGCACTGGCTAGGTGTCTTATAGGTAGTATCTCATTTATTCCCTTTTTTCCATTTATTCTTTATTACAAGCCTATGACTTAGGTGTATAAACTTTTTACAGAAACTGAGGCTTGAGAAAGGTGAGGCAATAGACCCCAGGGACACCCAGCTAGAGTGATATGAGTCCAGAACTGGACCCTAAGTCTGGGTTCAAAGCGAAGTTCTAAAACTCTCTCTGCATCAGACAGTGGGCCAAAGCTCAATAACAAAGGAAAAGTGACCTCTGGGCAAGATTTAAACTCTCAGCAGATATTCATGCAACATCCATCATGCCAGAAAAAAAGTCACTACTTTTAATGCTTTCTTTTTAAACATTTGCCATATGGCCTGCCTAGCAGGTCTCTTAACTGCACTGCTCCCTCTTTTTTAAAAAAATAAGAATAACTGCTTTGTAGTAATTAACTTTAGAGCCAACGTTATTAAGTTGGAAGAACATGCAATTAAAGGGAGATTTCTAAAAGTTCTGCTTTGTCATAAAAATAAAAATAGCTTTCAAATTACTCAAATTCTATTCGATATTAATTTTTTCCTCAATACTGTTTTTAAAATAAGACCATGAGATCCTTTTGACCTTTTTCTCTTAAACTTACTCCAATCAGTTCAGGGAAACTGGAAAGGACAGAAATAACCATCAAAAGGAACCAAACTGTATGTTTTGGTGACTAAAGACAATAAGCCAAACACATTTAAATCAAGATGAAAAATACTAAGTGACCTCAAAAAGGTTTTTAATATTGCTAGAGACAAATGTTATGATGGTTTAAATTGGAGGTTTAAGAAACATTTCTGACCATTAGCCCGCAGTAAGAAACACTTTGTACACACACACACACACACACACACACACACTCCTGAAACAGAAGTTTCACAAAGTAGTATTAAATGTGGTACACTCTGATATCTATCCCATGCTGTTTAATAAAAATACCAGTTGTGGCCCACCAAACTCAGTTCACAATCCATAGCTGGAAAAACAGCAATTTATATATGGAGCTAGAGGCTTAAAAGAAAAGATTTATCTTTTTTCTTTAAGCTGTGTCATGCAACTTGTGGGATCAGTTCCCCGACCAGGGATTAAACCCTTCCCCTTCTGCAGTTTCACTGCAGAGTCCTAACCACTGGACCACTTAGGGAATTCCAGAAAAAAAGTGGTATCTAGGAGAATTCACCTGTATAGATGACCTACACTATGCTCTTCATACATGACCCACTAAAACTAGGAACCTTCAAGTGGGTATAAGCTTCATTTTCCAGAACAGACCCTGCTCACGCTCTAATAACTGCACTACCTAAGGCATCGGGGGACTGAATAGTATTGCAGATGAAGTCCCCTCTGCTCCCTACATTAACTTTTTATGAGGCCCATGACCAAGAATCTCTGCTCATGAAACCCACGATCACTGTTTCTCCTTGCACGTGCACCATGGCTGGCTGTGCCAACGGACAGAGGACAGAGGCAGGAACAAAAGGCTTACATCACCATTAACTGACCTCTTTTACTAGAAAACAGAATCTCTTTTCCGAGCTTTGTATTTAGGGCTGCCTTGGCCGCCACCTTACCCCTACCTAGAAGTAAACACAGTTTCACATTTTTAGTTTTCCTGCCCTCTGATTTGCTTTCCATGGGCATATGTTAGGGAATGCAGTTAATCTTCAAGAATCTTAAAAGGCAGAGAGGATCCTGAGCTAAGTTCTCAAGGGCCTGTACAAAGCACTTTAGGTGGTCACACGGGGACAGCCCATGGAAAAACTCATTAGTGAGGCTATATGGCATTGCTGATGCTCCTCCTGCGGAGACCCAACCTTCACACTGAGTGGCAGCAACGCCTGCTCTGCCTCTCACGTGCTGTCAGAGGGACCTCCTTCCCATGGGGACTCCAATCAAGCCCCTCTAGAAAGGCACTGCCATTGCTTAGAAGGTTCTTGTAAGAATTTCATCATGAACTTTTCAAGAGAGATCATTTTAAAGCTGGGGGCATCCCAAGTGGTGCTGTGGTAAAGAATTTGCCTGCCACTACAGGAGACACAGGAGATGCAGGTTCTATCCCTGTATTGGGAAGATCCTCTGGCATAGGAAATGGCAACTCACTCCAGTATTCTTACCTGGAAAGTTCCATGGACAGAGGATCCTGGGCTATAGTCCATGGGATTGCAAAGAGTCAGATACAACTGAGCAAGCACACACAACGCCTTAATGAAAGAGACCTGATTTCTTCTCATTTGTAGGCATGTTTAGAAACGGACCCTTGAGCCTGGCATAAAGTGACAGGTTGGCCCTGCCTTCTAAGCTCGAGGATAATACCAGCTACCACAGAGGTGAGCCCCATCTGAAGACCCAGTTACTGGGTGGAGGTTCACAAAGTTACTAAGATAAGCATTTTAAAATAACTATTTAAATCAATGATTTAAATTTAAAAGCCTTTAAGACTAAGGGAATCACTGAATTATGACCATTGTCCCTAGATCCTGAGAATGGTTCCCAGAGCCCCAGTTATACATAAACACTCAGGTGCTCACTGGTTTTCAAACTCCTTTCTCTGGTGCCCTCAGGGTTCCTCGTACATGCTGCAGACAAAGGGAAAACCAAGTAGGTGGAGCACTGGGCCACTCTGGACTGAGTTTCCACCAAATTACACCACTTTTCTCTTCTACCCACTGGAATAGTGAATGGCCTCTTCTTTAAAAAAATTACCTTGTTAAATTTTCAAGACCACTGCCTGAGACCAACAAGGTACCATGCTGACTACTCTAGCATCTCTGCCTAATTTTATTCCCTTCAATTTTAAAGCACCATTTTGTTGCCTTAGGAGCCCATAGTCAGCTCCCCAAAGCAGCTGTTCCTAAGTTGACAAACCACTTGGCTGACTCAAATTACAAACCCTCATGCACATACTTCTATTTTTTAAATGGAATTGCACAAGCCACTAGAAAACCTGACTGAATGAACAAACAAACAACATCCCAACCTCAAAATACCAAAATACTTAAGGCTTTAAATCCAAGGTTTCTTTTTTTAAGTACATACCAAGTGTCTGATTTCTTCCTTAATTTAGTATAGAATAGGGCTCAGCACACATTAAGATTGTGTGCAGGGGTCAGCACACAATAAAATCTTGATTTACTAGTCCTAGGTGAGAATATATGTCCACTTCCCTTCTCTTCAATTATGCTTAGTTGATTACATTTGCAGTAAGTGTATTTTTGTGTCTTCCTTTTCCTCTTTTTGACTAATTTCACTCTCACTGCTGTCTGGAAGTTTCCTGATACAGCCTTCAGAGGGGTATAATGGCAAGTCAGGTGTTTACTGGAACCTTGATCAAGAGTTAGGTCACTGGAGTGAGCCAAGTCAGAGAAGGCAATGGCAACCCACTCCAGTACTCTTGCCTGGAAAATCCCATGGACAGAGGAGCCTGGTAGGCTGTAGTCCATGGGATCGCTAAGAGTCAGATATGACTGAGCGACTTCACTTTCACTTTTCACTTTCATGCACTGGAGAAGGAAATGGCAACCCACTCCAGTGTTCTTGTCTGGAGAATCTCAAGGACAGGGGAGCCTGGTGGGCTGCCATCTATGGGGTCACACAGACTCAGACACAACTGAAGCGACTTAGCAGCAGTAGCAGTGAGCCAAGTGATTCCAAATCTTTTCTTTTTTCTACCCTTACTAGCCTCCAGCTTTGTTGAGATTTAACTGACATAAAACAAAGGTTTCTTTTTTAGAGGTAAACAAGCTCTCTACCTATAGATGAGACTAAAAAGAAAGATTATAAGATCCATTTTCCCCTGTGCTCTGCCTTCTCCCACCCAACAGCAGGTGGTCCTAGCATGTGGCATTTTAGTAGTCATCAAATGAGAAACTTACTTCCTCTGCTGTGTCCTTCTCTATCCGGACTATCTTGTTTTCCCAGTAGATTCGTTGTGACTCCAACTGGCTTGTTAGTAAATACGAATACTACAAAAACACAGAGAATTGGACACCAAAACATAAGTTAATGTTGTCAGTCTCTGAAAGTCAATTAAAATCTGATTTTCAATGACCTGCAGAAGAGTAAGAGGAACATTCAGAATGTATATTACACCCTGGTTCCACTCTACTCAATAAATTAGGGGAGCACAGAGATGACAGTTACACTTCAGTCCCCTCTGGGGGCTTACAATCAATCTAGTTAGGGACAGAGAAATGTACAATTTAAAAAACCCTTGTTTCTGTTCAAGCTGGCTTCAAGAAGAACCACATGGTTTTAAATCAAGTATAACTCAAATCAGCTCATCCAGCTACCCCTTCAGAAAGTTGTCCCTGTCACTTCCAGCCTTGGGTTAACTGCCCCTCTTGGCTCCCACTGTGCCTATCATTAATAGCACTTAAGACATTAGCACTTAATCAGCCATTTACCAGGCTCTCTCCTTGACTGGACTGTGAACTCTTTGAAAGCAAGGCTATATCTTTAATTTTGTGCCCTTGGTGCCTGGCACATTCTGGATGTCAAGAAAAGTTTGCTACCCAAGTGCAAGAATGAATGAACAGTGCCGTGTAACTACAGAGAAAGGACAGATGGCTTATGACAGTAGGATCTGATAGGGTTTCTGACAGAAGGTGAGATTTGAGAGGACCCTTGACACCTTGACAGAGAGACAGGAGGAGGAGACAGAAAGATTCCAGAAAAATGTGATGCTGCGGACATTCAGGATTATCTCAGCCATGAAGTAAGACCAGTGAAGCTGGAGTGTAGGGTGTGGTGAGATGGGGTCTATGCAAAGTTCTGGGGTATCACATCTAGAAATGTGAGCCAAAGAGTGGCAAGATCACATTTTGTATTCTGGAAAAGATCATTCGAAGAGACTGGAGATCTACTCATGTTTGCAGGCCAGAGAAGAAAATGAAAGAGCCACAGAAAGAAGGGACAGAAAAAAAAAAAAAAAAAGAAAGAAGGGACAGTTTGGGAGAATGTATGTCACTAGAATGTATGCTCCAGGAGGGCAGCGAGTCCATTTAATGCTAAGTTAAATGGAAGAGTAGCACATGGAAGAGTAGCTGACAGACAGCAACCCTCAACAGGTATTCACTGAATGAACATACTTAATTTGTAAGAGTTACTAAAAACTTAACACTAAAGATCGGAACTTTTTTCATGTCAATACAATATATTAATGGTAACAACATTAGCTCTATTTTATGCCATTTCACTGACCTTAAACACCTGGAGATGAGCAAGTTTTCAAATGTCCACTTCTTCCAATAGTTAAGGTATTTGTTTTAAAAGTAATTGTTTTGAAATTTATTTAAAATAGGACTCATGTTAAACTTTTCCTTCCTTAACATAAAATTTACATATCAAGTTTATAGTTATATAAAGTTTACCGCTATGAGAAAAGCCCAACTGTGCTAATTTTGTTGTTTCTTCACTTATATGAATATCCAAAATGGCTTTATCTATATAAGGCTTTATCTTTATCCAATTACTAAATGCCAACTCAACATATACAAAAAAGCTTCTTGGCATGGAAAGATGCTATTGGGGATTCCTCATCCTGACCAAGTTTGCTCCATTTCCGCCTGCTATTGTGATGCCAACAGGAAGATTCTTAACTTCTAGTTTTATCACAGCTACAGAGGATAACCCTAATACTGAATTTGAGACAACTAGGAACATAATGTTGAAAATTATAAGGCTCAATGAAACTTAAGATTTCCAAAGAAGAAAATCAGATGAAAAAAAAAAAAAGAAAATCAGATGAAATAAAAGTATTTAAAGACTCCTTCAGAGCAATATAGATCTTTAAAACAAAAGCTAACATGCAGGGCAAATGGCAAAATTAAAAGCCCAAACAACCTTTCAAGTTAGAATAGTAAAAAGCAGTAGACATAGGTATTTAGTGATTAATAATAAAATATCTTACCTCTAACTGTAAGGCATCTATTTTCTCCTCCTGGCAAGTATCACCTTCACATTCATACTGTACCAGCTTTCCATCTGTTTTACTTGCAACCAGTCGATGGACATAATTATCTAAAGAAAAGAATAAGTCAACCAAGGCATGGTTTTTCAGAATGAAAAGGGTCTCCATAAACCTTTAACTTGGACAAAATTTTTGTTTTCACAAATCCAAATTAAATACTGTGCAATATTTCTTTAAAAGTGGTTTAAATCACTTGAATTTTTTAAAAAAGAGTGAGAGGGCAGGAGTATAAGTATTAACTCTCTTTAACTTGGGCAATGCAGGCCATTCACATATGAAAGAGAGCCCTACGGGCCACCATGAGAATTGGAGTTTGCCACAGCTGTCAGGAAGATTTCAAGCTGTGAGAAAGGAAGTGGAGAGGTTCTGACAGAGATGTTTTCAGACAGAATGAATCCAAACTAGAAAATATGAGTGGTGTTCACCTCCAGCATAGTCCCAGACTCGATGGTTGGTGAGCTGCATGGCATACGTGTGTTGGGTCTCCTCAAAGTGCTTATAGGCATGTCGACTCACATATCGTCCACATCCTATGTGGCCACATATTAAACAAATCCAAAGGTTCTGCCGGGAAGGAGGTAAGATCTTCATTAGAGATGTAAAATGACATGACCTGGTGTATGAGGTATATGATAGTGGGGTATATGAGAGGCCTGACACGGGATGAGATTTAGAGATGTTTCTACAGGAGTTCTGAATAAGGGGACTTATTCAAATTATTTCAAATTCAAATAAGTCCCCTTATTCAAACAAGGGGACTTCCCTGGTGGTCCAGTGGTTAAGAATCCACCTTCCAATGCAGGGTCCTCAGGCTGGATCCTTGATCACGGAACTAAGATCCCACATGTCTCTGAATAACTAATAACTAAGCCTGAGTGCCACAACTAAGACCCAGTGCAGCCAAATAAATATTTTAAAAAAACAAACCAACAAGGATCCTTTTATGGGTCAATTAGTTTTCACTTTGGATTCTATGGAACTCTATGTAAACAAGGAAAAATAATTTATCAACAAAAATCTCAGCCCTTTCAAACACCAAAGAATGAAAGCATAAAGAATTTTGTGTAGGAGTAAAATGGTTTGTGAATTTTTTTTTTTTTTGGTCTGATCCTCAACAGAGAGAGAAAAAAAAAAATCTGTCTCAAAAAGAATTGAGAATTTAAGTCACATTGGGCAGAAGAAAATCCCAGACATTTAAAGCTGTGTACATTATTATTTTCCACCACTTGTTACTTACTTCCTGAACACCACACTCGAAACACTTATTTTCTTCTACTGGCTCTGGCGTTTGACAATATCGGCAAACAGGACATCTATAAAGGGCACCAAAAAAATAATGACACAGATTAAATATAAAAGACAGCTGTAACAGAACCCCAAAGTCAAAAATTCAGTTTTATATACTCCCTGTCTTACATAATATTTTTTATAACAACTAAGGCTATCATTCAAAAGACAAACACTTCCAAGCTATTCTCAGACAAAATGGAAAAAAAAAAAAAAAAGATCTTGATAAAGCTGAAGAAAAAGGAGAAATCTTTTTCTTCATATGCCCCATATCTTTCTCCACTCTTCTGCCTAAAGCTTAGGTAATCAAAGAATTAAATATTTACAGATTACAATTAGAGACTTGAGACAAGTTATTTTTTCATGTCTGGTTACCCATAATGTATTTTTACTTGTAATCTACCTTATCTCCACTTCCTAAAGTTTTAATCATCCAATATGTACCCTTGTCTTCTCAAGGTTGCTCCTAAGAGTTGAAACTAAATTCTGTAGTAAATTTCACTAAATTAAAACAAAAATGTTAATGTACTCATGAAATGCATATGACATTTTATACAATGAATTTCACCTAGAAGAAGATATCAGTGCTCTGTGAGTACTGTTCTGATTTACAAAAAGCCAAAAAAAATGGCACAAAAGCCAAACTCATAGATACATAGAGAGGAAAGGTGGCTACCAGGGGCTGGGAAAAGGGGCAAATGGGCAAATATTGGTAGAGTTATTAGCTTTCAGTTATGCAAGATGAATAAGTTCTGGAGAATTGATGTACATCAATGTTGACTGTAACTGACAGTATTATTGTCAGTTGCTGACAATAATTTACTATTGTCAATTAGTAAATTGACAATAATTTACTGAGGACATTCCTGAAATTTCCTAGAGGGCGGAGCTTGGTCTCACCACAAAATAAAAATAGAAAGAAAAGTAAAAAGAAAAAAAAAGTAAAATGGTAAAGGTGTGAAGTGATGGATATGATGACTTGCTTGGTTTGTGATGTGTATTTTACAATGTTGATGTATATCTGGTCGTCCAGTTGTACACATTAAATACATAAAATTAGTTATATTTTATTTTTAATTGTAGGCTAATTACAATATTGTGATGGTTTTTGCCATACATTAACATGAATTGGCCATAGGTATACAACTGTCCCCTCCCTATGTACCCCACCTGCTGTCACAGAGTACCAGCTTTGGGTTCCCTGCGTCATACAGCAAACTCTCACTAGCTATCTATTTTACATATGATAATGTGTATGTTTCAATTCTATTCTCTAAAAATCATCCCACCCTCTCTTTACCCATTGTGTCCAGAAGTCTGTTCTCTACATCTGTGTCTCCTTTGCTGCCCTGCACCTGGGATTGTCAGTACTACCTTTCTACTTCATATAAGATCAATAAAACTAAAAGCTGGTTCTTTGAGAAGATAAGCAAAACTGACAAACAGGTAACCAGGCTCACCAAGAAAAAAAGGGAGAAGACTCAAATTAATAAAATTAGAAATAAAAAAGGAGAAGTTACAATGGACAACACAGAAATACAAAGGATCATAACAGACTACTATGAAAAACTGTATGGCAATAAAGTGGGACAAGTTGGAAGAAATGGACAAATTCTTAGAAAAGTATAACCTTCCAAAACTGAACCAGGAAGAAATAGAAAATATGAACAAATCAATCACAAGCCTGGAAATAGAAACTGTAATCAAAAATCTCCAAACAAACAAAAGCCCAGAGCCAGATGGCTTCACAGGCAAATTCTACCAAAAGTTTGGAGAAGAGCTAACAACTATGTTGCTATAACTCTTCCAGAAAATTGAAAAGGAAGGAAAATTCCCAAACTCATTCTATGAGGCTACCATCACCCTGATACCAAAATCAGACAATGATACCACAAAAAAAGAAAATTACAGGCCAATATCACTGATGCACATAGATACAAAAATCCTCAAAATTCTAGCAAAATTCCAGCAAACGGAATCCAACAGCACATTATAAAGATTATATATCATGATCAATTGGTCTTTATCCCAGGGATGCAAGGGTTCTTCAATAAATGCAAATTAGTCAACGTGATACACCATATTAACAAATTGAAAGATAAAAATCATATGATCATCTCAACAGATGCAGAGAAAGCTTTGACAAAATTCAACACCCATTTATGATAGAAACTCTCAATAAAGTAGGCACAGAAGGAACATACCGCAACATAAGGCCATATATGACAAACCCACAGCAAACATTATCCTAAGTGGTGAAATACTGAAAGCATTTCTTCTAAAATCAGGAACAAGACAAGGGTGCCCACTCTCACCACTATTATTCAACATAGTTTTGGAAGTCCTAGCCACAGAAATCAGAGAAGAAAAAGAAATAAAAGGAATCCAGACTGGAAAAGAAGAAATATATACAATTTTGACTGTCAGTTATACTTCAATAAAACTAAAAACATTTTTGAAAAAAAATCTGTTAACCCTTAACTCAAGACAAAGTAATACTAAGTGCCAGCCATGAATATTTGTGTCTGATGGGCAAATATGGTAGAAAGAGGGTTACAGCTGAGGATAAGTGAACTAGCACCACCAATGCTCAAGATATAACTAGAATCAATCTGTTACTTAACTGAATAAATAAAACCAAGGAAAGGAAATATGCAGGAAGAACACTAAGTTCTTGTTACAGATAAGGACGATGTTTGTTAAGAGAAAACTAAAGGATTTAGTCTGTTTCTTTTTTTAGGATCAAAAAAGAAGACAGTAGAAATCTGAAAAACTAACAAAAGTTGCAGGTAGGATCTCGCAAGCATTCTTGTCGAAGGTAGGAACTAGCTCTGTGTCATCCCTTTGGTCCGGGTGGTGGCTGTAGTAATTGTGGGATAAGAAATCAACAATTGGGGCTTCCCTGGTGGCTCAGTAGTAAAAGAATCCACTTGCCACTGCAGGAGACACAGGTTCGAACCCTGATCCAGGAAGATCCCACATGCCACGGAGCAACCAAACCCACACACCACAACTATTGAGCCTGTGCTCCAGAGCCCAGGAACCTCAAGTATTGAGTCCACACGCTGAAACTACTGAAGCCCACGTGCCCTAGAGCCCGTGCCTTACTAAAGAAAAGTCCACGTGGCAATGAAGACCCAGCACAATCCAAAATCAATATAATTAAAAAAAAAAAGAAAACAACAAATGAATTCTGAAATCTAACTTTCAACGCTGTGCCAGAACAATCTTTCAAAACATATGATCCTGAGAATCAAAAAGGAGAAAAGAAGGGAAATTACAAAAATAAACTTATTTGTACCATACAATTAGCACTCCATGATATATCATCCCATCTGTCTATTAAAAAATAACAGTTCATTAATTCTTCTTGCTTTCCCTTCAAAAATAATTACGAGTTGTTACCTTATTTTCCTGAGGAGATATTTGGGGAAACCCTCTCAGAATGTCATTTGCTGACAAGAAAGTACCCTTCAAGGCCTGGTACCAATACTGTCTTCTGTAAACAGCCCTTCTGGACCAACCCAGAGGAAGAACCAGCTTGATCTCTCATCTCTACCTTGAATTGTACACATACATGTGTGATTCTCCCTTAGGAGACTCAATGTCCTTAAAAAGGGTCTGTGTTTTCATTCTCTGCCCCTCAGCACTGTGCATGTAGAGAGGCTTAAACCCACTTGCTGAAGGCATTGTATGGTTTGGAAGGCAATCGCCCAGTGGGTTGAATTCTGGTCCCAGTTCTGGCATTCTCTGTCCTGACACTCTAAGCATGCTGATCACCTCTGGGCCTTAAGTCTCCTCCTCTGTAAGTAACGAAGAGGTTGGACAAGATGGTCCCTGAGGAAACGTGAAAATGCTATGGTTTTACAAAAATTAATGTGGGACTTTCTGATGGTACAGTGGATAAGAATCCTCTTGCCAATGAAGGGGACACAGGTTCAATCCCTAGTCCAGGTGGATCCCACAGGCCACAGAACAACTAAGCCTGGGTGCCACAACTACTGAAACCTACATGCCTAGAGCCTGTGCTCTCCAATAAGAGAAGCCACCTCAATGAGAAGCCCGCAATGAGAAGCCCGCATGCGGCAACAAAGACCCACTGCAACCAAAAAAAAAAAAAAGTTAACGTGTACTGAGAGTAGAACTGGAGTGGTGGGAAACAAAGAAGTATCCAGAACTTAAATGGGGTAGCAGATGGACACAAGTTACAGACTAACACTTTATGGAACCACACATCTCAAAGTGGCTTTATTCAAGGCAAATTTAAACCTGGACAATTCTCTGAGGAACTCCTAAATGATACCACAGAATTGCCCAAGGACTCTACAGAACTGGGGCAAAATTATTCTCTGGTTAAATAAGCCACAGGAAAGCCAGCGTCTATATATTTGTTCAGAGATATTGACTGAGCTCCTCCTATGCACTACGTCTCCCCCTAAGTATGGAGGGCACTACAGAGAACAGCCAGACAAGGTCCCTGCTCTGGAAAGCTGGCCACATGGGGGCAGAGCACCGAGACTCCTGTGGACTTTCACCCCTCCTCACTCCTGGGCTTTGGAACGTGACTTTTTGCTTCCTGGGTACACCCCTCCCCCACACCATCTTCTTTCGGGTTCCACCAGTCACCTGGCTAACTCCTATTTCTCTTCCCTGAGTGCTGCCTCTAGGACAAGCCTGGTGGGGTCAGGGCCCTATTCTCTAGTCACGGTGCTGCAATGCTGTTCCTTGTGTAACCTCGTTTATCTGTGTGATTATTTGATTCTGCACCTTCTTCTCTACTGGGAGGCCAGCGTCTGATCTACCTTTCTAGCCAAGACTCACAATGCAGTTTGCAAAGGGAACAGCAACTTTTGACTAGGGGAAATAAAAGTACAGGTGACACCTCAGTTCTTTGCACAGTGATCCCTTTCATACAAACAGGGTCTGTGCTGCATTAGGAAACAGGACACCATAGGTGTGCATGAGCCTCATACTTAGTGACTGTTGTTACTACTGGCCACCAAGCCATCGATAATGATAAATCCAAAATGTCAGATTGGTGTAGCCCAGCACTCTAATAAGAAAGCCAAAGTCAATGGCAGACATAAAGTGCAAGTGATAAACAAGATTTTAGACCTAGATGCGCTTTACGTAGAGGAGCCTCAAAGCTAAGCTTTACTCCCCCACCCGCTACTCCTTTCATTCTCTGGCTCTAGGAAGGAGAGAACGATTCATGCTGCTTTGGGACATTCCACAAGGATATTAGTCAGCATATTAGAAAGGAACTGGTCTACAGATGCTGACCCCATGTGAACTGAGGAAAAGCAAAGAAGAAATACAGAAGGCCCTTCCATGTGACCTCCTCACCACTGTGGTACCCAGGTTTATAAAATCAAATACTTGGAGTGGTCCTTTCTGCGGGGTGGCTGTTCTTAATTCTGGGAAAGGGTAATTACGAGCTCTGACAGGGAGGGGGATGAGCCCCTGCACTCACGTCGTGTCATCCCAGCGCTGCAGACACTGGCTGTGGAAGCTGTGGTTACATAAGGTGGTGAGGATGCCGTTCACGGACTCGTCCATGCGCTCCAGACACACCGTGCACTTGGGCAGCTCTGTCAGGTCCATCACAGGGAGGCTGGCGCCCTACAGGGAAACACCTTGAATGAGTCTCACTCGTCATCCACAGGTTCTCATTTTTCTTTTTTAAGGCAATAGTCTTCCTGATACTCTTTGACTCCTGGTAGGATGTTCTCAATATTATTACTTTGTGAAAACAACCTAATTTGGTGAGGTTTTCATCCATGCAACAAATACTAATTGGTCGCCTCCTGGCATCCCAGGACTGTGCTAGGCACTACGATACCAAGGGGACAGAGCAGACAAAGACACCCGCCCTCACAGAGCTGACACTGGAGGAAGCGAGACTGCTGCAGAGTCTCATGTTACCAGACTCCCAGCTCTAACTCTAAATGGCCATGACCATAACAGAACACAAAGGAAAAAAAGCAGGAGTGTATCTGAATGATTTTCCAGAGTAAATGAAAACTCAACACTTTCTACTAGGTGATAATAGTATCAACAACAGTGATTTTTATTTATTTAGTACATACTTATTAAGTCCCTGCTTTGTATGCCAGACACTGTTCTAGGTGTGGGACTACAGTGAACAAAAACAGATTCAGTTAAGTTGTAAAACACGAAGTCTGTCCCTTTCCTCACAGAGCTTAGCCTCTAGTAGAGAGAGATATGAAATTCAAATTTTTCATTTATTATTATTTTTAAAAATATTTATTTATTTATTTGGCCACGGCAGGTTTTAGTTGTGGCATGTGGGATCTAGTTCCCTGACCAGGGATCAAACTCAGGGCTCCTGCACTGGAAGCACACAGTCTTAGCCACTGGACCACCAGGGCAGCTCCCCAAAACTCGAAACTTTTAAAAACTGTTAATTACCAATGGTTGTAAAATGGTTGTAATTACCAACGGCTGTGAAAGAACAGAGTGTGAAGGGCATAAGGATCTAGGTGGTCAAAGAAAGACACCTCTAAATGCATCAATGTCTGACCCAAGCCCTGCCAACTAGGGGACTACTGAGGCAAAGGTGAGGCACATAAATAAGAACACACTAAGAAAAGTCACATTAATCTATGGTCCCAAAGAGCAGATATTTGAAAATCTCTTAAGAAGCTGTGTTCATTTAAAGAAAGGAATTCGTAAAGCTGAGGCCCTGCACAGCACCTGGCAAAAGAGTAGACTGATTTTTTTTTTTTTTTTTGCCCACGCCACTCAGCCCGTGGGATCTTAGCTTCCTAACCAAGGATCGAACCCCCAGGTCCCCTGCATTGGGAGCAGTCTTAACCACTGGACCACCAGAGAAAGTCCCCTTTGCTGATTTTTATTTTACCTAATCTAATGACAGAACAATCTAATCTGAACTTATTCCTATCAAGTGGAATTCAAGGTGAAAAGTCCTTTAGGGCTACTTTAAAAGAGGAAATATTAACAGTATAACAGAGCTGGATCTACTACTTTATTCAAATGAGCACATATTACAGGAATGCTTCCCACGGAGGGTGGGAGATCAGAGCAATTATTGATACAAATTGCTATCAAAAGAGAATTAAGTATTAGGATAAGGATTAAGGGTTAATATTTAAAACAAAAATATTCATTTTGGGGCTCTAGGCACAGTTTCATCCATCAGGAATAGACACATACTCAACTTCAACAACACAAATAATATTCTTTATTTAAAAAAATACTTTGGACAATTTTTAAAAGTTGAGATAAAATTCACATATATAAAAGTTGCCATTTTAAAGTGGTTTTTAGTATATTCACAAAGTTGTACAACCATCACACCACTATCTAATTCTAGAACATTTCTGTTACCCCCAAAAGAAACCATGTGCTTGTTAGTTGTCACTTCTCACCTCTCTCTCCCCTAGTCTCTGGCAACTAACTTATTTTCAGTCTCTATGGACTGGCCGATTCTCGACATTTCCACAGGTATCTTAACTTTCAATTTTATACCATTCTGATACATTTATATCAAATATAGGAATTATTTGCACTTACATCTTCAGATTTCAACACTTCTGCCCTCTCCACATAGACCAGCTGGCAAACATCATCTTCTATTGAGTTGAACTGGCGGCCATTGCATGCCATGTAAAAACTATCTGCATCAGCCTAGGTAAACCAGGGGGGAAAGGGAAAAAATTAAGAGTGCGATTGTGGTAATGTGCTTTCTATTCAAGATGGCTTCAATTATTCTCTTCATCAGCCTTTAAAAGTTATACTTAGGAGAGAGAACAACCACCAAAAGTAACATCTGTGGTAGCAGGTTCACAGGCTAAGTGAACCCTGCAGGTCAATATCCTACTCTACAATTTTTTCTGATATGTGGTAGTTTTATTTGAATAATCAGAAGCTATTGAAGTGCAATAAACCGATGGCTACTACAATTTTAATATATAGTCAACCAACAATGGTCAATGTTTCCCTTGATATCGTTTTTTTTCCCTTTTGCCTCTAGTTAGCACTTTCACAACAGCTGAGGTCAGTTCTATTTGGAACCAAATCATAACTGATGACTGTCAATGGGAGAGTTTTTTTTTCTTTCTGGCTGCACCTTGGGGCTTGCAGGATTTTAGTTCCCACACCAGGGATTGAACCTGGGCCCACTACAGTGAAAGTGCTGAGTCTTAACCAATGAACTGCTAGGGAATTCCCTATGGAGGAGCTTTTTAAACAAATGTCAGCATCTAGGTGAGAAAAAATAGAGGACCAGTGGAAATGGTAGGGAGTGAGAAGCCAATTCCTTCTTTTCAATAAACCAAATAATAACAATAATTAACACATGATAGTTAGACAAGGATCCTGTCAGGAGGTTTTAAACAACCTAGTGTATAATACCAAAAGCAAAACTCTTGGCCAAGGTCAAGAGATCCAAGATGAACTAGCCTTTAAAATTCTAACAGTCTTGTCCCCTTGGAGTGGAAGACAGAAAAACCAGGGGAAATCAGTCCCCTGCAGGTAAAGCCATGAAAATACATGTGCATTTGTGGATAAGAACACAAGTAAATCACATCTTCAGACTAGCCTCAGTAGGAAGTAACAAAGAGACAATTCCAGCTTTTAAAGCTCAGCAATTTTTAGAGGCAGCTGAGAGGCTTCGGCTTGTGTGGATTTCACTCCCACACAGGCATTAGCCCCAACATAGGAAGTTGCGTGCTCTGGCCCTGCCAGTACAGACAAGCTGCCTGAAGAGAGGAAGTGTGTTCTGCAAAAGGAAATGCCGCACCATCAACCTTGAGGTCGAGATTTGAGCTGTATCAGGCAAAAACAGTCCTGGCTGTCTACCCTCACAGGGTCTTGGATCTTAAGAGCCACTGTAAGCTTTTCAGTAGTTTTTCACGGCACTTGGATGATGTAATTCAAGTGTGGATTCTCGGATTATCTATGCTATCTTAATATAACCAAGTGAGCTAAGCCACTAAGGAAGGATGACCAGTTCTGAACATAGATTCTGCAGGGACTTTTTGGCGGAGAAGGGGAGGCTTTTCCTTTGGGCAACAACCTGTGTATTGGGTAAAGGGTATTTGAAATTCAAAATGTTACAAGCCAGTTCTTGGATAATAAATGTCTTTAACACTAAGAAGCAGCAGCCCCAAATGGCTTCTCCCACTTTTCAAGAGTAGTGGCTCTGCCTTGAAATGCTTTTGGATGAATAACCAGCACAGTGAGCCGCTGGACTCAAGCACCAAGGGCCAGTGGGCCATGACCAGCTCTTCAGGGCCGCCGGCACCACCAGGAACTGCTGCAGATGTGGCTGCCAAGAACAGCAGACCCGGCCAAAGACCTCCAGCTCTGCAAATGCCCCCTAAGCGTCCAAGCCTCCTCAGGGGAAGGGACAAGGTTTGTGATACTGGGAATGTGACAAAATCTACTCAATCCCAGATAAATCCTTTCTTTCTTGGGGGAGTTACCTGGACCAAAGGTGTATACTTTTTGAACACACTGCTCTCTTCTTTAAAATCTTGGTATTGGAAATGTAGCTCCACTGGCTGGGATATTTACTGAGCACCCAATGCATGCCAGGTACTGTATATGCAAAGGACAAGAGCAGGGAGCAAAATCCATGTGGTTCCTGCTTCAACCCAGCACTGAGATGCACTGAACAAAAGCCTGAAGCTAACTGCAAAAAACACAGAACAAACAACTCATTTAAAATGCCTGTACTGTACAGAGCCCCAAAATGAATGAAACCCAGCTTCTTTTTTTTTCTAGTCCTTTGATTTGATTGTTCTCTTCTCAGGATTAACTTAGAAAAAGAAAAATCTATTATAATCAATGTTTCTTTACTGTCACGGTGATCAACTAGTGCTACGAAAATATTTTTTACTTCTCAAAAGAAAGTAGGCTGGCCTAAGCCTACAAGTGATAATGAGCCAACATACTCCATTGACAGGTTATCTGTCCTTTTCTGTTCCAAAGAACTACAAAACTGAACCCCCTTCTGCCTCCCTGTACCTTGAATTATAAATTAACTCCTCGTCAAAGGGCACAGTACAACTTTGTAGGCACATCTGACACCTCCAGCATAAAGAAAGATGAGGCTAACAGAGATTCAAGAAATGTTAGAAGGGGTAAAAAAGGCCTATTAGCTCTTAATAAAAATTCTCTGGTGAGAAACAGAAAGGAATAAGAATATAGTTACCTGCCCAGGCCATGACGTCAGGCTGCCTTGTTTGAATCATAACTCTTTGACACTAGCTGTGTACCCTTGGGCAAGTGACTCACCCATGTGTGTTTTCTTAATTATAAAATATGAAAATAATGACACCTACCTCATGACATATCTGAGAGGACTCGAGGAGCTAATGCATGCGAAGCTAATTCCTGGCATCTGGTAAGTGATCCAGAGTTGGTGCCTACTGAGTGTACTCTCATTAGGGCCCAATATTAATTTAACATCTTTGAGACCTATACTAGGGAGGGTGGTTTAGATCTTAGAAAATCCCTGAATAGAATGAGCCTTGGACCTTAAGATCTAGCGTTACAGATAAAAAATACAACTCACGATACCAAGGTCAAGGGTTCTATCTTCAGAGAGCACTAAGAAAGCTGTATTATAGTCCTAGAAAACATCTGTCAACTTAAGCAACTCACACGTGGTCAAAAGACAGAGGTGGAGAAACAAGTATTGGATTGGTCAAAAAGTTCATTTAGATTTTTCCATAAAATCTCACAAAGAAAATCCATTAAGAGTGGCAGAAAATTTCCACAGCATCATCTGCAGACTGCGAAGGGTGGCATATGCTACAGAGAAGTTTATGGGGTTTTTAGACAAGTTAGTGTTGTGGGCTTAATACACTTCAGACTAAACAGAAAGCCTAATATGTTCTCAAACATTTTTTCCCAATCCCTTTCTGTGAGGTTATGTGTGTTACCTGCTTACCACCCTTGCCCATTCAGTAGAAGCTAAAAGTGAAATACTGTCATGACACAATTCTTTGCGAACAGTGAGTACCTTCCCTTGCCCACATCTCGCTTCTGCCGGACAAGGACTACACCCTAGGGATTAAAAGTGAGGGCTTAATTCCCAGCTCAGTCACTTATTTCTAGCTGTATAACTGTGGCCAAATCACTAACCTCTCTCTGCAGCCGGTTTCCTCATTTGTAAAACTAGGATAACAACAATACCTGTCTACCTCATAGGGTTATAGTAAGGATAACATCAGCTAATGCCCATTAAGCACTTAGCAGAGTGAATGGTACAGAATAAGCAGTCAATAAAGGTTGCGTGTTATCACTATCCTCATTATTACATTTAAAAGATTTAATACACCACTTGCCCACTATTTGCAAATTGTCTCAGTGACCTTAGATGGTGTTCTGACAGTCAGTGAAAGCAGCTGTTAGGTGCTTTTCAGTTCTCAGTGTCAACCTGTGAAGTCTAAGCTCACAGGGCCACTGAAATACGTTTTAAAGGTCTCCCTCAAAGGTGCGGTGCTTTGTCAAGGTTAAAGATAACTGTGTACTCTCTTGGCCTTGGAAATCCACACTAAGTTGTTTTTTTTTTCTTCTGGTGGCCCAAAGAACAGGTACAAATACAATTCAACTCTTATTTCTCTTAATTTTCTATCTATGATCAATGAATGGCCACTCTTGCTGTCAACTCTAGCTTTTCATAATGAGGAGGTGACAAATGGGCATTGTGTCACGAGCTTCTATTATCCACACATCTTGGTGATTGGTCAGACTCCATGGCAAATGACCCTACAGGCACATTCATTTCTTTGCCAATCTGCAAGTTGGAACTGCTTATCTGGGGTAAACTCAGGAAGGCTATTTATCAGTGAGGTATGAAAGAACTAACTTTGACAAAGCTGCATTTCACAATCTAATGAAATTTCAAAATGTAACAGGTTACTAAAAAATACAAACAAATTAAAGAAAACCTGTGGACAAGGTAGTCCTCTATTAACCTGCATAATACCTAAAGCTTACCTCATTTTTATATTCACATAGAAACACGCAGACTCCTAAGAATGAAAATACAAACCCAAGAGAATATCTAACATCTTTAGAACTGAGGCACATGCAAAATTATACTTAATGCGACAAGGGAAATGGACTGGATGGCCAAACCTTCTTAAAAGACTGTTACAATGCACAAGTATACTTTTAAAAGCTGAAAATATCACCCTTCTTTCAGAGTTTGTCTTTCTATTGCAGTGATTTCCAGTTAGCACTCAAAAGCATATTTAATAATTCAAGGAATGTCACAAAACCCCTTATCATCAAAAAAATTTATTTGATTTTCTAGAATGTGCCCAAGAATATCTACTAAAAAGAGAATGACAGAAGCAGGGGCACAGTTTTATAATGGCAAATAACAATACAGGGTTAAGAAAGGTTGGGAATTAGAGTTAGGGTTATTCTCCCCCGCCCCCCGCTCCTGCGGAGGGTTATAGGGCACTTCTCCCATAATTTTTGTAGGTCTTGTGAGATAAACAAGACCAACAAAAAAAAAAAAAAAAAGAAAAGAAAAAAAAAGAAAGGTTGGGAATTACTGTTCTACTAGAATAGTTACTACTGGATAAACAAACACACACAACACTAGATTTCACACTCAATTTGATTTATAAAAAATAACAGCTATGAACTAGAATTGTGTGTCTGCTGATGAATTCAGCAATATTTCTGGAATTACATTAATACTCTAGAAGATATCAAGACTTCTAAATGTAAGACGTAGTAAACTAAACATGGCTAGTATCAAACACTTTCAAAAACACAGTTTTTGTGGCAAACAGATTTTTAATATCTTAACTTTTACCTGTGCACTAAACTTTATCAGCACCATATATTGATTTGGAGTAGAGTCTCTGATGATTTTCATTTGTTCAATTACTTCATTAAATGGGGCGACAAACTTCATAAGGTCATGACTGGTCATTGTAGCAGGGACTGTGAGAATACACAGCATGGCACTACGCCTCACATCTTCTTTTAAGGAGGTCATCTTACTAATAAGACAATAATTAGACTGTCTTGAATAGATGAGGTATGGTTAGTTCAAGCAACACTAATCAGACAACTTTTATGTCGAAGGAAAAACAAAATGTAATACTTTATAAATCAATTTAAACAGTTGTTATTTTACTGGAAAATACACACCTGGGTAAATGGAGAACCCCTTAAACACATCTGCAATGGAGTTTAAGGTAACCTTTGAAATGTTCTACATGATACCCACCACTGATATTTTTTAATCTTCAGTTAAAGGCTTTTAATGGTTATAAACCTCCATCAGGCAAATTTGCAGTGTTTTGCTCTCATTCATTTTTTAATAATAACTACCCTTAGATAATAACTATACCTAATGGAGCCTATAAAGCTCCATTAGGCAAATTTGCAGGGTTTTGCTCTCATTCATTTTTTAATAATCATCATCCTTCAGTTCAGATCAGTTCAGTTCAGTCGCTCAGTCGTGTCCGACTCTTTGCGATCCCATGAATCGCAGCATGCCAGGCCTCCATCATCCTTAGATGACAATAGAACAACTCTAACTGTGGACTTCTCTTGAAGGTTTTTGAAGAGAAAAGACCTCTAAATATAAGAAGGAGAATTCTGAACCATGAAGATGTGATTCTGAAGATTACAGGAAGTGTTGTTCAATTAGAATAGCTGGAAGAAGGGAAAGAAAAACCGCCCACCAAAATAATTTGCTTTTTTCTCAAACTTTAAACTTTTTATTTTGTATTGGGGTATAGCCAGTTAAGAATTTTGTGGTAGTTTCAGGTGAGCAATTTGCTTTTGAAATGCTACAAACTGACTTCAACAACTGTATTCCAAAATGGCTACCTGAGTATTCTGTTTCCCAGTGGGGACTGAGCAAACAATTTAGGACAAGGACAGTCTTTAAAGAAATCAGCGACTAATTATCCGAGGAGCTGGTGGTCCAGCTATGTTGATTATATAGCAAAATCTTTCTTTCCTTTGGCCTCCAGAAAGCCTTGTTTGGACCACAAAAAGGAGTTCAAAGGTATGATGAAACAGCAACCCATTAAGTGACTTCATAGCAGCTTCTTTAGTAAAGACTTGGTGGGAATAAGAGACTACAACTATGTTATAGATCACTTAGAATTTTTCTTTTCTGTCTTCCTTCCTTTCAATTTTCCAATCACCTGCATGCCTACCATCTCAGGGAATATTTTCCTGGGTATTCTCTCAAGCGAATCTACATGATTCATTCATAAGATGCTTTTACCCAATTTATGAGATTTAACCATAAATAAAATATCTAAGAATTCTCAAGAAAATATTTAAGAATTTAACACACAATATATGAAAGTACTATCCCTTTGAACAAAGCTTAAAATAATCCTTCTCTTCAGGGCAAGAACATTTTCTCCACCCTATGGCAAAAAACAGACAAACTCAAAAGAGAAAAGGATTTTCTTACTTTGTCTTATATAGATGCATAATACCGTGAACTATTTCAACTGAGGGGTTTCCACTGAAGAAGGAAATCTGATCTGGAAGCTGCTTGGATGGAGAATCAGGAGCAGCATTTACACCTTCTTTACTTGGATCTTTTCTTCTGTGTGCAGTGGGGGATGCTTCTGAAAATTTCCTTTCTTCCACTGTAGCTTCTGGCTCATCTTTCACAAACCAAAAAGTTAATAGATTATAAACTGATATGAAATATGTGGAAGGATTCCAATTAGATGAGAATTTTAAGTCAGAAGAATAAACTTTGAAAGAGAAATTGCATTAAGAACTGCATTCACAGAACAGCAGAGTTCTGGGGATATCACAACTTGAAAGTACTCTTTGCCCCGCTGCCCCCATGTCATTAACACCCTCAGAAACTGAAGGATGTCAACTTTACATTGAGAAGTACCATAATAAGGCAGGTGTCTTCCATCATGCACTCCTGAAAGTGTAAGTCGCATAGTCGTGTCTGACTCTTTGCGAACCCATGGACTAACAGTCCCATAGAATTCTCCAGGCAAGAATACTGGAGTAGGTAGCCTTTCCCTTCTCCAGGTGATCTTCCCAACCGAGGGATCGAACCCAGGTCTCCTGCATTGCAGGCAGATTCTTTACCAGCTGAGCCACAAGGGAAGCCCAACAATCCTGGAGTAGGTAGCCTATTCCTTCTCCAGCGGATCTTTCCAACCCAGGAATCGAACCGGGGTCTCCTGTATTGCAGGCAGATTCTTTATCAACTGAGCTATGCACTCCTAAGTGGGACAAATATTCAGGGCTATCTGAAAGTTTGAAAACCAACCTACCAGTTCTCCACACTGGAGATGCAATACACATCCACCCCCCTGGATGAAGCGAGCTGGCAGAGCAGGGGGAGTCACAACGTGCTTATCTGGATTCAACATGAACCGCCACAGACTTACGTGCTAAGTAGCTCTCCTCACTTGAGGAGAGTTGTCAACTTAGCTTGTTACAAGTAATTTAGAAGAAATATTTAGAGAAATTGAAATCCACCCTGACAGCTTCATGTAAGGAACATAGGCAGTAAAAGTTAAAGTATGCTAGGGGTCTTAATCACAGACTCACTGAACACCACTGCAATACAAGCAACCATTAGTTTACCTTACAGAAGAAAGCCTACGGTTTTGGAAAGCATACCTGGGTTGGCCTTCATGGTCTCAATGATCACATCTGTCATTTCTCGACGACCGAGATGCTGATGTATGATTGCTGCTTTCTCCCCTGGTGACTTCCCTTCTAAACAGGCTACAGCTGAAGCTAGTGTCTTCTTTTGGATCTCCTCATCAGACATTTCCCCGACTAAAGAATACATGAATAATTAATATCTGACAATAAAACAAGCCTCTTTCCACTCTCAATGTATCCATCCACAGGTTTCCTTTTTCTCTCTGCTGCCTTCCCCCAAGACTGTAAGATGCCTTTTGCAGGATCCTTCTCACTCATCTCTGGGGCTCCTGCAGTACTGACAGTCAGTTAATGCCCAGGGCAATAAACTAAGAAATGCAGGGTGGTCCTAATGGAAATCATGCATTCTAAAGCAAATGAAGGAGATAAGAGCTTGGATACTGATCCTGCTCATATGAACCAACATTTTAGTAACACTTTACAGTGAAACTGTGTTGGACCCCAAATGAGAGCATCAAGTCCACTAATCAACAAAATTTTTAGGGTTAGTCTTCTTAAACAACCTGCATTAGCCTAATGCCACCATGTCCTGAAAAACTGTGATCATTTTCTTACATCACTAAAACACACAAAAATGAAAAATAAATTCAGAGATTTGACAGAAATATCCTTAATATAAGCTTTATGTGAAGAGAGATCAAGCCTGTTTTGCCCATCACTGTATCCTCAGCACTTACATCACAGTGCCTAGCACACACTGGAAGCTCTTTAAAGATTTGCTGAATAAATTAATGACTCAATGACTGATCCATTTAAAAATGTATATGTAATTTATGTCAATTAATTTGACTTTCAGAACTCAGTAGCCTATTTAATTATATTCAGTCTTCAGTTTGCAGCTCAAAAATTCACACTCAGGGAAGTTTCCCACAAGACCATCCTACCAGCCCCAGGCCTCTTCCCCAAACCAACCAAACACATCCTCTCATAATAGCTTTCCACCTTCCTTTCTAGCTTTCTACCTTCCTTTACTGTACCACATTTGTCACAACTGTATTCTACATTTATGCTGTAATTATTTACTTAATCTATCTCCATGAACTGAAGTGAATTGCTGGTGCCCTTAAAGCAGGGACCGTGTCTCTTTCCGCACACAACTAAAGCCCAACAGAAAGTGAGCACTCATAAAGTATTCCCTGAATGAATGTTGCCTTGCTGGCGGTTCAAGGAACAGAGCCACACCTGCATTTCCCAGGAGGAGGCTGTGTGACTGGGAATGAACAGCTCAGACTCTCAAGTCCAGCTCTCTGAGGTAGAATTCCAGTTTTGCCACTGATAGATGATCCTGGGTAAGGCACTTAATCCCAGGGCTTCAGTTCCCAGTTTGTAAAGGCCTCATACACCCATAAAACTAATTGGGTTGTATGAAGATACAGAAAAGTGTGCACACAAAGTGTTTAGAACAGTGCTCGGATATAGGAAGTGTACACATTTCAGTTATAACTACTGCTACAGTGCGCCCAAATGGATGGTTTTTCAAATTAAACCAGGAGCCGTCAGCGTGCTGGCGATTCCCTGCCTGCCTTCACAAAGCCTAGAGAAAATCAACTCGCACAACTAGGCTCTCACCCAGGTTGGAGAGAACGACGCGCCAAATATAAACAGAGTCCCGGTGGGAAGGCACCAGGAAGGAGGGACCGGAAAAGACTTCCCACAGGTGACACCTGGGAAGAGACTTCCCAAGGATGGTGGGGACATGAGAGGGATCCCAACCACTTCTCGGCTTCCTCCTGAAGCGAAAGCCCTCGCCGAGGCCCTTTCCCAGACTCAGACTCCGAGAGGAAGCGCCCCGGGGCCCAGGCGCGGGGCACGGGGGAGGCGGCGAGGCCGCGGACTCACCAGCAGCGCTGAAGCCGAAGCCGGCGGGGACCGGCGAGTGTTCTGCGAGCTCCAGGCGGATGACAACCAGTGACACACTCATAGGGCAGCCACTGGCCGGCGAAGGCCCCGGCGGGCTCAGGCGAGGCTGGGAGGCGAGCCTAAAACAGAGAGGCCCGGGGCGGGCAGTGCCGCCACCGCCTCAGCGCCGCCGCCACCGCCTCAACAGCAGCAGCACCTCGGCGAACAACGCTCTGAGCCACAACCACCTCCACTTCCGCCTCTCGGCCGCCGTCGTTGTCCTGTGAGGTTACGCATGCGCGGGCCAGCGCGCTCTTTAATTGGGTGTGGAGGCAGCCACGTGACTGGTGTGTTTTCGCTGAGGTGAGCCTGCACCCTGCTTACGGAATCTCACGGGAATCTCGGGAGCTGGGCTTTCATTAGGCGGATCGGTGGGTTTGCTCCCAGACCTGAGTTAGCCTACCTGAGAGACCTCGTTCTCAGCCCAGCTCATCTGACGGCGAGGGGCCTCTGACTCCGCGAGGGCTCCCAATTGTCCGAGCAACCTGCACCCTGCAGAGAGCTCTGGCCTTTTTTTGTCCTGTTTGATCTCTCGCTCCAGCTACAGGCAGGGTTGCTTTGTGTCAGCCACGCTTTACATATCGGTGCTCTGAGGCATAGAGATGAATCCGCTTCTTTCTCTGAGGGCCAATAGGGAGTAAGGACTGTTGGGGTGGTGGGGATACATTGGTGAATAAGATGAACACCCAATTCCTGTTCTTATGGATTTGACCTTGTTTCTAGTTGTGTGACCTTGAGCGAGGTTTTTCATAAAATTGTGTGATATCCTTATACAGCTATGAGGATGAAGCAAGTAGAGGCTGTGACTCTGTTTACATTAATTTTTCTGAGAGTCCGCATTCTTTTCAATACCCCAGACTTGAGATTGAGGACAGGAGGAGAAGGGAGCGAAAGAGGTTGGATGGCATCACCGACCTAGCGGACATGAGTTTGAGCAAACTGTGAGATAGTGAAGGACAGGGAAACCTGGTATCCTGCAGTCCATGGCGTCTCAAGGAGTCCGAAACGACTTAGCCACTGAACAACAGACTTGCCTTTGGCACGTGAACATGGAGAGCCACAATCGGTACATATATAGCATATATGTGACAGGATGCTACTCTAGGTATATGTTATTACATGTAAGTGTGTCTTAGCACACACTGTGTCCTGGACATACGTAGATGTGTGGACTACAAATCCATATCATGACCACCTGACGTTTATACCTTATGACTGCACACTAGGACTTTATATCATGATTTCTCAACCTCTGCACTGTTAACATTATTAGACTCACTAAGCCTTTGGGTTGTGTGTATATCCTACACTTAATGGAATAGTTAGCACGATCCCTGGCCTGACCTACTAGGTACCAGTAGCACCTCCAACTGGTGACCACCAAAATGTCTCCAGACATTCTCAGATGTCCCCTTGGGGCCAAAATTCCCCGCAGTGGCAGTTCCTGATTTTTGTGAAACTGTATATGCCATATGCATCCCACTATATGTATATAATATATGAGATCTCATGTGAACTTTTTTTTATAGCATATTACAGTAGCAGATAACATTTAATGGTGTGCCAGGTACTAACTTGAGTGCTTTATTAATATATACTTTATCTCTATGTAGTAGTAACAACAACTTCATGAGACAGGTACTATAATTTTTCCCATTTTACGGAGGAGGAATCTGAGGCTCAGAGAGAGTCAGTTGCTTAGGATCTCACATGTAAATAAGTGGCAGAGCTAGACTTTTGAGTCCAGGCAATCTGATTCCAGAGCCAACACTCAATCTCTACTAAACCATCTCTAATATGCAGCAACTGGCCTTCTCTGGTGACTCAGATGGTAAAGAATCTGCCTGCAATGTGGGAGACATGGGTTCAATCCCTGGGTTGCGAAGATTCCTTGGAGAAGGGAATGGCAACCCACTCCAGTATTCTTGCCTGGAGAATCCCATGGACTTAGGAGCCTGGTCCATGGGGTTGCAAAGAGTCAGACACAACTGAGCAACTAACACTTTCACTTTTTCACAGTGTGCATGTTTATGAAAGTATAATTTAGGTAGGACATCTACATTACACATACTGATCTCATTCTGAGAGGCAGAGAGAGAGAAGATGAATATTGTTTATGGTGGAGAAGGAAGATGCCAGTTCCAGAGAACTAGAATTATTCATTAGAGATGGGCAAAACGGGCTTGTTACAGTACTCTGTAGCTGCCAAATGCTATGCCTGCCACTTGTGTTCCCCTATTTTCTGATTCATCCAGTTTATTCATCCTTTCAACTTATATTTCTTTTCTGATTTTTGGCCTTGTCACACACCTTGCAGGATCTGTTTCCTGACCAGGGATTGAACCAGGGCCACAGCAGTGAAAGCCGGGAATCCTAACTGTTAGGCGCACATGCAGTGAAAAGAAGTGTTATTCGTTCAGTCATGTCTGACTCTTTGCAACACTATGGATTGTAACCCACCAGGCTCCACTGACCATGGAATTCTCCAGGCAAGATTACTGAAGTGGGTAGCCATTCCCTTCTCTAAGGGATCTCCCCGACCCAGGGATCGAACCCAGGTTTCCTGCATTGCAGGCAGATTCTTTCCTGTCTGAGGCACTAGGGAAGCCAAGGGAATTCCTCCAACTCATGTTTTTACTGAGCACCTGCTGTGTGTCTAGATATTGTGCCAGGTCCTAGGGGATGGATAGACATGGAAATGAAATAAGACAGGCCTTTCCTTAACGAGTTTACATGGAGAGGAGTAGGTAGAGTCAAAAAGAGGAACTGTGATGGGGTAAGTCGTCTAGTGAAGGTATGGATAAGAAGCAGTGAAAATGGAAAAAAAAATTAGTACCAGCGTCTTCCAGGAAAAGAAAGACTAGCCTCTCTAGAGGAGATAAAGTTGATGCTGTGATATAAAAATGAGTGGAAATTTACTAGCAAATTAAGCAGACTTCCTGTAGCTCAAATGGTGAAGAATCTGCCTGCGATGCAGGAGACCAGGGTTTGATCCCTGGGTTGGGAAGTTCCTCTGGAGAAGAGATTGGCAACCCACTCCAGTATTCTTGCCTGGAGAATTCCATGGACAGAGAAGCCTGGCGGGCTACAGTCCGTGGGATCACAAAGACTCAGACACAGCTGAGCAACTAACACACACAAAGCAGGCAGAGGCGTTCCAGTCAGTGAGCAGGTGCCATGGAGTTACCAGGATGTATGGTATGAGAAATCACAGCCTTTTCCTGCTCTGAAGAGAGCACTGGGAAGTGAGAACAGACCATCATGTCTAGTTGGAAGGACGCAGCAGCTAGTTGTGGGAGCAGTGCCCACTCACCCATTAGCTGGAGTATGAGGGGGACAGTGTCTTCAGTGAGAATAAAAGTCACCCCTTCAGTATGAAAGTCAGCCTTTGCATCTCTGTTAAGCCCTTGCACAGAACTTGTTGACACTTTTGGAGCCTATAAATAAATTTCTCCTTCCGTCACTAACTTTGGCCTTGGCATAGGAACATAAGTAAAACCCCAAATGCAAATCAATCTACCTTTTTCATTTCAGCATTCATGCCCCAATCCAGCAAATTTCCAATTACATAAGAAACACGTTATATCATCTTGAGCATTTACTTCCTAAGCATTCTTTCTTTAGATTCCTACATACTTTACTTAGTCCTTATGGTGGCACTGAGGTGACTCCCATGAACGTGCAGGCTGTCTTACCAACCTGTTTTGCTCTAACTTGCTTCTTAGCTTTTAACCATAGACATAACATGAGAAACTTCAAGATTTTCAAGTGGAACTGACTGCAAATAGAGTTTGTTGTTGTTTTTGTCCTTTTTCCCAGTTTTTATTTCAGACCTAAAAAACATGGAAAGAAGAGTACAAGGATCTCTCATACACCTTTCATCATGTGCCTTTCACTGATTATTAACATTTGGCTCATTTATGTCTATTCATGTGGAAATGTTTGTGTATCTATATATACATGTACCTGTTGTGTGTATGTTTTTGTTTCCCCTGAACTTGTTGAAGGTAAGTTTAGAAAAGAGGCGGTGACGATCAGGAGGTCATCGCGCTGCTCTGTAGCAGGGATGATAGTGCGGTGGCATCGTGAGTGCTAGGAGGAGGTGAGTACAGGGCACCCTTATCCGTACAGCAGAGACTGCTCATCTGCCTCTTCTGGTGGCCGGAAGAGGTTTCATGAAGGAAGTGACAGGCAAACTACAACCTGAGGGACAATGGGCAGTTATCCAGGGAAACAGCATATGCTAAGGCCTGGCCACGGGAGGAGCGCATCGTGTGTTCAATGAAGCTGCTGTGGACATGAGTGTCGAGGTCACCCAGGCTAAGGTGAAGTACAAGGGAGAGCTGCTGCCCAGAGGGGAGAAGTTCTCAGAGGGCCTTTTCAAGCAGCTTAAGGAGCTGAGAGTTTATTGTGAGGACGATGGGGAGTCACTGGATTTTATTTTTTTTTCCCACTGGAGATTTTAAATGGGGGTAGGACATGATCAAATTTGCAGTTTTGACTGACGAGGCAAGGGGATCCACTTAGGAGGCTGCTGCAAAGGTCTGTGGGTGAGATCATGCAGTGGGAGTGGAGAGAGTAGATGGAGAGCTTTGGGAGGAATGACCGGTCACACCAAGCTCCAGAATGGAGGTGTCTGGCTGGAAGACTGAGGGGTGAATCCAGTTTTCTAGCTTGGGTAGCTGGGGGGATAGGGGAGCGCTTTCCTGAGCCAAGGACCTTAGGAAAGGAGTTGTCATGGAGGGCAGAGACACTGAGTTCAGCTCTGGTTGTGTCTGAAATGCTGGTTGGGAGCCAGAGTAGACATGCTGGTGGCGCCCTGAGTGCCAGGACGGAGGTCTAGTTGGAGGCAGTGACGGCTAACCGTGTCCTGTTTCTGCTTCACAGCCTTGGCCCCAACATGTGCCTAAGGCGGCTTCTGCAGTCCTCCCAGCTCCAGCGGGCTTGGAGGGCGGCCTTCCTGAAACATGTCCAGGGCAGGCACCCGGGAGCCCGGAGATGGACGCATTCTGGAGGTGGCCCCTACAGAGCAGTGATTTTTGACATGGGCGGAGTTCTGCTTCCTTCTCCAGGGAGCGTGGCCACAGGTGAGCTCTTCATTCTCCTTCACCTTTGGAGACTGGTGTGCGTGGGGGTGGGGGGAAGGAGGGTGTTGAGGGGAGATGACAGTGTGTCTCAGTGGGTGCTATTCTTGCTCTTGAATCAAATTTCAAGCAACAGTTAGTGCTGCTGAGGATCTTGGGCAAGTGATTTCACTTCTCTGAGTCAGTTTCCTCATCGTTAGATTAATGCTAATGATAGTGCATACCTCTTTGGGGTTTGGGAACCATTAAGTGAGATCATTCATAGAAAGCATTTGATTAGCAGAATGAGTGCTTGGCTCATCTGAAATTCTCAATAAATGATGAGCTGTCATTGTTATTGTTATGGGTAGAATTTAATTACCTTCCCCTGAGAACTGCTTCTGAATGTTGTAATCTCCCCTCCCTGATTTGATCAAAGTCTTTCCTGTTCTACCAACCTCCCTCTACACCTGCTTTTGTTACTATAAAATCAAACCTCTAGGTTCTGATCATTTCTTTATCTGCCCTTCCTAACAGAACAGTGACTGAAGAAGGCAGAAGTTGATTTATTTTGTATATGAAAGCTAGGTATGTGGTCTGGGCTAGTATGTTGCTATTGATATCAGAGCCGTGGGCTCTCTATAGTGTCATTCTGCTATGGGTATTGTTCATGTCCAGTCTCACCTTATGGTCTCTGCTGGCTGCTTCATCTTTTGCTGTCACATTATCATTCCAGCCAGCAGGAATCGAGAAGGACCTTTCTTTTTAACTGTACTGCTGGCTGGTTGGGCAGTTCTCCAGGCTAAGTCAACCTAAGTTCAGGTTTTCTGTGACCTTGGTCCAAAAATTACCTGGGTATACAAACTGCTAAGGTGAGCCTTTTTTGTTTTCTTTTAATTGCTTCAACTCTGAGCTGAGCCCTCAGCTTTTCTTTTCCTCATATTCCTCTTGCAGTTACGCCGGGCCTGTTCCACACTCCCCGAGTCATCGTACTTCCCTACCCCAGTCCTTCCTGCTTAGAAACATAAAGATCACTGGGCAGGAGTTGTCTTGACTTTCTCCAGAGTATCTTGAAAAGCTACTTGCTTCTTTCCACTCCCACGGCCTCTATCCAAGTTTAAATCCCCGACTTGTCCTACCTTTGAAATCATATCAGCTACCTGCATTCTCTCTGGGACTCTGGTCCTTTGGGTTTTTTGCACCACCCTCCACACAGCCCCCAGAATTAGTTTTCTAAAACACGGATCTGGGATTTCCCTCGCCGTCCAGTGGTTAGGACTCCATTCTTTCACTGCAGGGGGTGAGACTTTGATCCCTGGTCGGGGAACCAAGATCCCACATGCTGCCAAAAAAAACACCACACATACACACATCTTATCCCTTCACTCTCCTGCTTCAAATCCTTGAGTGCCTGCACTCTGTCTCTTAGATTAAGTTTGGAAGCTTTTGTCTGACATTAGGGGCCTCTTACAATTAGCCCACATACCTTTGTGCCTCACAACTTCCCACATGTGCCCACATCTCAGCTTTGTGGACCACTTGATGTTCTTTAAACACATCTGCACCCCTGCACCTTGGCAAGTTCTGTTCCACCTCCTGGCAGCTACTCTCCTCTGTGTGCTCAAATCCTACCTATACTTTAACAACAAGTTAAGTGGTATGGTGTTCAGCATGGTGCCTGAAATCTTTGAGCCCTCAACCATCAGATGATGGTTGTTATTATTGACTTCTCTTCTGTCAAGACTCCTCTGACCTCCTTCCTTGGCAGAATGTCCCTGGATAGCAGCTTTCCAGTTCAGCTTAACACCAAGGGGTGTTTTAGCTGGCTATGGGATGTGTTCCTATCTCCTCTGTGGGGCAGTTAGAGTTGGGGACCGTGCGTCTGGGATGTGTTAACTTCACTTTTCCAGTGTCAGCTCAGAGCTGGTTCAGGTGTTCATTCAGTAAACGTTTGTTGGATGGATAAAGAAAGAAATAATAATACCTTCAACTTTCTCCTTATTGTTTTTCTTGACTGGAATTCTTAATGTTATTTATTCATTAAAAAGACCTATGGGACTTTCCTGGTGGTTAGTGGTAGTTAATAATTTTCCTTGAAATGCAGGAGATTTGGGTTTGATCTCAGTCAGGGAACTAAGACCCCACATGCCTCAGGGCAACTAACCCCAAGTGCCACAACAGATATCCGCCCGCCGCAAGTAAGACATGATGCAGTCAATAATAAATAAATAAATATTAAAAAACTGCCATCCCAGATAAAACAAAATGACCCATATAAAGGGTCACTGGAGCAGCAAGTACTAGAATTCAGGCGTACTTTTTTTACACTTAAGCCAGAGGTCAGTCAGTCAGCTACAGCCTGTGGACCAAATCTGGCCTGTTGTATGGTTTTGTACAGTTCATCAGCCAAGAATGGTTTTTATGTTTTGAAATAATTTAAAAAGTCAAAACAAGAATATTATTCTGTAGCATGTGGAAATTATACAAAATTCTAATTTCAGTATCCAAAAAATGAAATTGTATTGGAACACAGCCATGTTCATTCATTTACATAGTGTCCATCTGTGGCCCTTCTCAGAAAGTTTGCAAGGCCCTGATTTCAGCTATTAGTTTACTATAAAATCACTGTACACAAAAAGTTAAGAGTATACAGTCCAAACATTTTAGCATAGCATTCAGGGAGTGTCATATGATCAGACTGCTTAATTTTTGTCAGCGTGACAGATAAAAGGCTATCTCTGTGTGTTTTTCTTCCTCTGTATGTTATTTTTATTTTTTTTTGTATGTTATTTTAATATTCAGGTTGAATGCTTTTTTTGTGTATTAGTTGGTCAGTTTTCCCTTTCTATGAATTGCTCATTTTTATTATTGATTTGCAATAATAAACTTTTGTCATATCACATGCAAATATTTCTCTATTCTGGGACTTGTCTTTTATTTTATGATAATGTTTTTGCTGTACAAGAGTTTTCATTTTTGATATTAAGAAAATCATTTGTGTTTTTTTCTATGTCTTGAGTTTTATGAGTCTTGGCTAAGAAAATTTATTCAAATAAAGATATTCTGTATTGTTTTGGAGTTTTTTTCCGATTTGGATATTTAATTTGTTGGGAATTTTTGTGGTGGTATGATAAAGAGATTTAATTAAATTTTTTCCTTGTAGAAACTCAATTATGGCAGTCTCATTTATTGAATAGTCAGTTCTAAAAGTATATAAACTATGAAGATAAATTTCCTGCTTTCTCCTCCACTACTTTTCAGTCAGTTCCAGACTTCATTAGTTATCACTGTGAAAAGTTTATATTTCAAAAAATTTCATTTATGTATTTGAGAATGTGTGTGTGTGTGTGTGTGTGTGTGTGTGTAAAACATGCATACCAAAACTGAATTGTACTGTACAAACTGTTCTGTACATTTTCTTTTTTCTTTTGACTCAGTATAATATCTTTGCAACTCTTCCACATCAGTAGGGGTCTAGTTCACATCAGTCTAGTTCAGGAATTAGCAAACTCTTTCTGTCAAGGACTAGATAGACTTTCAGGGCCATAATGGCTCTATCGCAACTATTCAGCTCTAGTGTTAGAACCAGAAACAGCCCTGGACAGTAGTAAACAAGTAGGTGTTGTTGTGTTCCAATAAAACTTTTATTTACAAAAAAACAGGTGGGAGACAGATTTGGCCCCCAGGCCATAATTTTCTGACCTTTGACCTAGTTTTTACATTTTAACATCTACGTGGTATTCCATTATATGGGTGTACCATGGTTGATTTAACCAGCCCTTTATTAACATACATGTAAGTTTCTAGTTTTTGTTATAAGCAGTTCTGCCCAATAGCCATGTACATAATTTTTGCTTACTTTTATAAATACATCTGTGGGAGAAATTCCTGAAAGCCGAATTACCACATCAAATGTAAATGTACATTTAAAATATTGTATTCGGGACTTCCCTAGTGGTCTGGTGGCTAAGACTCTGTGCTCCCAATGCAGGGGACTCAGGTTCGATCCCTGGTCAGGGAACTAGATCCCATATGCCACAACTAAGAGTTGACCTGTTAAAATTAATCCTACCTGCCACAATGAAGATCCTGTGTGCCACAATTAAGACCTGGCGTGAATAAATAAATATTTAAAAATAAAATGTTGCACTCTTTACACCCCCATCAGCAGCATAGGAGAGTGCCCCTTTCCTTGCGTGCTTGCCAACTCTTAAGATCCTAAAAATTGCTCTAACTTTAGTTCTAGAATTAAAGAGGTATTATTATTTGGATTGAGTTTTATAAGCTATGCTGTTCTCAAAAGACATTCTGAGTTGGTCACATTGGTGATTTCTGAAGAATGGGATTGCTTTGTCATTTTACTTTCTTTTTTAAACCTTTCTATATTGTCTGAAATAGTTTCAATGCAAGGCACTGCTTTATCAAAAGAAAATGTATAAAGTGTACTAGGTCTTAGATATCATTATGAATGCTATATATATTTTTGCCCTATAGTAGCTGTGTTGTAGAAACATCTTTGTTTAAAAAAAAAAAGCAACTCCTATACAAATGCTCACAGTAGAAACAATACTGATTCACCACCCACTGCCTCAGCTCTCTGTGGACCAAAATTTTCTTCTTTTTTCTACAAAACACCGCCCCCAAGTGAATGTTTCAGCGTCCGGCTGCACTGCCCTGAAGGGTCACTACAGCCCACGAAATGCAGGGCTTGTTTTGGAGTGCTGCCAAAATCTGGCTTATTCCCTGACGTGCTTCCATACCACGTGCCAGGACCATGTGAGTGACCTGATACATATGAACCAGCCAATAAGAGACCAGGGAAGACAATTCATAATGTAGTGTCCAGCATCATCTCAAGCTGGTGGCATGGACTGATGCTTGGCAGCAGTGTCCCCTCAGTCACACATATTGTTACTGCTGTTCCCTAGAGGTCTAAAGCTGAGATTTTCCATTTCCTGAATTTCTCTGAATTCCCAATAGAACCCCCCTGGCACCACAGTGATGCCACAGAACCTATATGGTAATTACCCTGCTCCCCAGACTTCAGCTGTTTGTCCATAATTGTTTCACTTACCATGTGTTTTACTTTTGGTAGAATGGGAGGTACAGAATCATATCCCTTCTGGAACTATAGTGAAGGCCTTGATCTCAGGTGGCGAAAATGGGCCCTGGATGAAATTTATGAGAGCAGAGATAACAAGAGAAGATTTCTTACAAGAATTTGAGAGACTTTGCTCTGAAATTGTGAGTGATAAACATACTTTCCATATTATGTTTGTCTAGAATAGTGGATGGAACACTCATCCATTAAATTGGTTAAACTAAAAATAAAGAAGAGAAAACCTGACAACCCCTTATAAGATTTTAAGCTATTTCTTCCATCCCTAGGTACGCAATTTTAACTGCATGAGGAAAAATAAAAATATTATATACTCAGCCCCTCCACCAGCTATTGTTTATATGAAGCTGGAATTGTTACATAATGGTTTTGATCAGAAAGCTTGTTTAACGCAGTGATAACATTGAGCCTTTCTCTGGACTATGCATTGTTCTAAGCTCTTTATATTAACTCACATACTTTCGCAATAACCCTGCTAAAATATAATTTAAAATATAGTCAAGTTCTGTGGATGGATGGTGGGTTTGATTGCACAACAATGAATGTATTTAATGTCACTCAGAGGGCTTAAAATAGTAGAGTTGATGTTATGTGTTTTTACAATTTAAATATTTAAATAAGCTTGTATTTAAATATATAAATATACATAGAAAACCCTATGCCAAGTGATAGAACGAAGCCAGTACAAAAAGACCATATAATATACAGTTCTACTTATATGAAGTATCCAGAATGGGTAAATCTTTAGAAACAAGAAACTAGAGTTGTTATTTTCTAGGTCTAGGAGTATTGGGGTGGTGGGGGCACCAAATAGGTAGTGACTGCTAATGGATATGGGTTTCTTTTTAGGGTGATGAAAATGTTCTAAAACTGACTCTGGTGATGGTTGTATAACTTTATGAATATATTAAGAAGCACTGAATTTTACAGACAGTTTAAGTGGGTCAGCTGTGTGATACGTGAATTGTATTTCAATAAAGCTGTTGGGAAAGATGAGGACAGGAGGAGAAGGGGACAACAGAAGTTGAGATGGTTGGATGGCATCACTGCCTCAATGGACATGAGTTTGAGCAAACTCCAGGAGATAGAAAAGGACAGGAAAGCCTGGCATGCTGCAGTCCATGGGGTCACAGAGAATTGGACATGACTGAGTAACTTAACAACAACATGAAACTGTTGTGAAATGTGTGTGTGTCTATGTATAAAATAGCAGACTTGCCACTGCAGATTTTAAAATATGATAAAATAAGAGTTTTCAAAACCCAAACAAATAGAATTTGGAAACACAAAAAATGATCAGAAATTGACCTTCAAAAAAAAAAAAATTGACCTTCAGTGTATAATGGTGAAGCTCAGGCAATGCAGAATCATCAAATATCTTCTGAATTCCCAAAAGGAATCAAATAAAAATTAAATTACATCTGCTTAATTCACTTTTAGAGTTTAATGTATCTTCTTAGAGTCTTTTGAATCTTTAATTGACAGTGAGTGAGTGAAATGAAGAACTCATTTAGGGACTTCCCTGATGGCCCAGTAATAGGGAATCTGCCTAGCAACATGGGATGCAGGTTTGATCCCTGGTCCCAGAAGAGATTCCACATGCTGCAGGGCAATTAAGCCCGCACCCCACAACTAGACTCAATGCAGCCAAATAAATAAATACTTATTTTACAAAACTCATTTAACTGGAATGTTGATGTAAATAGCTCCATCCCCTAATGACTCATGTTTTACAACCTTATATGAAAAGTTCTGCACCAGGGCTGAAAGAGAAAATTCCTTTTGGCAGCAAGCCAGAGGCCTGGGGTAGTGGCAGGAAGCCTGGAATCTGTGTTTTTCTGTGTTGGTGATAAGCTGTTCTTACTCTTAATGATGGCTGGTTCTCTTCTCTCCCTACCTCCAATCTTAGTCAGAGACCTCTGTGCCCGTGGACTCCTTTTTCTCTCTGCTGACCAGTGACCGAGTGACGAAGCAGTTCCCAGTGATGACTGAGGCCATAACTCAGATTCGGGCTAAAGGCCTTCAGACTGCGCTCTTGAGCAATAATTTTTATCTTCCCAATGGGAAGAGCTTTTTGCCCTTGGACTGGAAACAGTCTGATGTGGTAAGCTGACAGGGATCCATAACTATCTGAATCAAGTCTCTGTCTTTACTTTAGGATGCAACATTAACGCTACCTCTCAGTAGGTTTTGAGTGGATGGGATGGTTATTCACACAGTTGACTGAGTTAGGATTAGACATGATAGGTAGGAAAGAGGACTTGCAAACTATCACTGAGCTGTGAGCAAGGTTATTTATGGGCTTTGATAACTGGGTGAAACCTCAGCTTCAGAGATTCTTTTTCATTCTGGACTTGAACCTTAGTCATTAGATAACACATGCACTTTATCAGCCCTCACCCTTTGACGTTTTCAAATACCAACCCCCTTGCCCTCTATTTCTGTGGCATTAATCCTTAGATCAGTGCTGTGCAAACAAACTTACTGCAGAAAAGGAAACGTCTAGTATGGTTGCTACTATCATACATGACTGTTAAACGCTTGAAATGTGGCTAGTGGCTCTGAGGAGCTGAATTCTTTTTCATTGCAATTCAAATGTAAATCATCCCACCATATGGGACAGTGCATAAAGGGCTAGACTGTCAAAGTACCTGAGAAGACTCTGAGTCAGGAGATGGTCTTCTGTGCTTCCAGGAGGTTACTTCTGTGAAAGACTCTCCATTTTCCTTAAGGGAAGTATATGATTATTCTGGGACAAGTAGGAATTATTGATAGATGACGGGCTTAAACTTCATTCAGTCAGAAAACACATTTCTTACACAGCAGTGACTGTGTGCTGGGCACCGGCTAGGTGTGAAAGGCTACTGTGTTCAATGTGACTGACATAAGCCCTGCCCTCTGGAATATATGTTTGCCACATTTTAAGTGGTCAGTTGCCACATGTGGCTAGTGGCTACTATGGCGGACTGGGCAGTATAGCATTTCCATGGTTATAGAAAAAGTTCTGTTGGATAGTGCTGTTTTAGAACATGAAATCTAGTCGGATGACAGGCAGATAATTCAGAGCACAAATATGGGAAATTAAGCACCCCACTTAATACTTTTTCACTTCCCACTTCTTCATTCCTCCTTGAGCACAGCCTGCTGAAATAGAGTCTCTTCCCTGTACATCCCTGCCTGGCTCCTTACCCACTTCAATTCTTGGTTTCCTAGCTTGTCCATGGCACAACCCTCCAACAGCACCCTTCCCTTTAGGGGCTCAGGGACCTCAGTCAGATTTGAACCCTGTCTCTGCAGCTTGCTATGGGCAGTAGATTTGATTCCCTGAATTGCAGTTTCTTCATCTGTAGTTCATAAGCAGCAGTTTTGTTTAGGGTGGCTGTGTGGATCCCACAGCATAATACATGCAAAGCACTTTACAGAGTGCCTGGCAGATAGGTAAGTATTCAATACACTGTGATTATTTTCAGAGATTGCTCCCCTCCAGCACGGCTACGGGGATAAATAAGTTGGCCAGGTTCACACTGGGCCTTTCTACTATTTAAGGACTTGTGAGCTCCTTTAACACAATGGACTTCATTCAGACTTCACAGACGCCCTGGCATGTGCTTTCCAGCAGCTTTTCTGATGAGTTTTCATAATTTTGTTCTGTAAGAGACCTAGAGTGTTGAAAATCCTTTTTCTCAAGAGCATGGTTAATGTTTTTGTTTTCTAAAGCTATAAGACAAAAAAAATTTTTTTTTCGATGGGGGTAAAGATAGTGTAACCACTCCTATGATCTGTGTCATCACTGGGGGCTGTTCCTGACCTCCCCAATGTTATAGGAATATATATATACATATATATATATATATATGTATATATATATCTGCTGAGGCATATATGACATTCAAAATTTTTTTCATCCATTTTCTTTCTTTTCTTAAAAAATATGTTATTTATTTATTTTTGGCTGTGCTGGGTCTTTTTTCGCCATGTGGGCTTTTCTCTAGTTATGACTGGGGCGGAGGGTGCTCCTTGAGGTACGGGGAGCGGGTGGTGGTGGTGCTGCTGGTTCTCATTGCGGCAGCTTCTGTTGTTGCATAGCATGGGTGCCAGGGCTGTGGCACAGGGCTTAGTTTCTCTGGGGCACATGGGATCATCCCAGAGCAGGGATTGAACCCATGTCTCTGGCATTGACAAGTGGATTCTATATCACTGAGCCACCAAGGAAGCCCCATTCCCCCCCCCCCATTTTCTTTTAATTAAAAAAATTGAGGGGGACTTCCCTGGTGGTCCAGTGGCTAAGATTCCACCCTCCCAATGCAGGGGGCCCGGGTTGGATTTCTGCTCATGGAACCAGATCCCACATTGCCACAAAGAGTTCATATGATACAACTGAAAAAAAAAAAAAAAAAGATCCTGGGTGCTGCAGCTAAGACCTGGTGCAGCCAAAGAAATAAAAATAAATATTTTTTAAAATTCAACATTTTTTTTATTGTGAAAGAACATAAGATTTACCATCCTAGCAATTTTTAACTACAGAGTTCAATTAGTGTTAAGTATATTCGCATTGTGATGAAACTCATCTCCAGAACTTTTTCATCTTGCAAAACAGAACAAAGGGAAGGCCAGGGATCTCATCCAATTTAAACCTCAAGAGTTTTTTTTCACTTCCCCACATGTAATCACCTATGGAAAGAGGTGTCTGTTTGTCAGACGTGGCCCAGGGCCCCTGCGTTTGCTCCCCTTTCTCCTCTTCTCTCAAGGCTACAGCTGTGCTCCTTTCCTGCCAGGTCGGCTGTTGATTAGAAACACTTGGCTTCTCCATGGCCCATGGTGGACATTTTCTTTAGAAGGAGTGGTCTTTGTCTTTTTTTTTTCTGCTCATTCAAGTTTTAAGGAGATGGGGAAGGGTAAGTAGAGAGGTCCAGTTTTTTCAGGACGTTTATTTGCTTGAAAGAGCAGTTCTCCAACCTTGAACAGTGGGAATTTGGAGGAGAGGGAGGGGCCCTCAGGTTTGTCCTTGATCTTGGAGAGCAAGGGTCAATTCAGGAGTGAGAGAGGGATTTAGTTCTATTCTTAGGACAGACCAGAGGGTATTGGTTACAGGCCTCTATGGCTGTTTTAGACCTATTCACAGGAGATCAAGCCCTGGGGTCAATGTCAGAGGACTTCCAAGGGTTGCTGGATCAGAGGTAGCCTGACACTGATAGCTTTTCAGGGTTCTCCTGAACCCTCAGCTGCTGCTCACCAGTTCTGAACTGGATACAGTTTGAGGCAAGGCTGTCAGGACGGAGGAGGCTCTTTGCATGAAAGGAACTGTGTTGGGACTTCCCTGAAAGTCCAGTGATTAAGACTCTGCCTTCCAATGTAGGGGGTATGACTTCCATCCCTATCAGGCAGCTAAGATCCAACATGCCTCTTGGCCCAGAAACCAGAACATAAAATAGAAGCGATGTTGTAACAAATTCAATGAAGACTTAAAAAATGGTTCACATCAAAAAAAGTCTTTTTAGAAAGTTCTTTTAAAAAGAAAGAAAGGAACCATGTTTCTGCCACTGAGGATCTCTTTGGTGTCAGCCCGTCTGTGGGATTTATCTGTCTAGGTTGAGTATAGCTGTTTGTTTTTCACTTCTGAAATATGGACATTAAAGTCTTGTTTCTTTTATAACAGTAAACATTGCTTTCTTTTTGAAAAAACCATAAAATACTTTCCCTAAATCTGAAATGTGCAGCTTTTCTTTTGTCCTGTGCAGCCACAATACCTAGTTTTGGAACACCTTCCAGTTTCACTAAGTTTCCCAGCTACTGTTAAGATGGGTAAGATGAAAAAAAAAAAAAAGATGGGTAAGATGGCTATCAGTGTTTTCAGTTTCCTGACGATGAACCTGCATTCCCTCATCGCCTCACTGCTTGTACAAGGTCACTCACCATGTCTGAACCAGAACTTTGGTTTTCTGAGTCTTCCCTCAGGTTGCATCCCAGTATTTCCAAATCACTCCAGTTAAAAAACCAACATCATTTTATATCATGACACTCTTAAGTTATTTGTTATAACAAACCTCCACTGTCTTTTTTCTGCTCTTTTCAAAAAAACATACCAGGGTATACACGGGAACACCAATTTTAGGGACATTTATCTCTCCTTCCTGCCCCTCCCTCAGGTAGTAGAATCCTGCCTGGAAGGTGTCTGCAAGCCAGACCCCAGGATGTATAAGCTGTGCTTGGAGCGGCTCGGCCGGCAGCCTTCTGAGTCCATCTTTCTTGATGATCTTGGACCAAATCTAAAAGCAGCTGCCAGCCTTGGTATTCACACCATTAAGGTAATGGTCACTGTTTTTTGAACCCCTTTGTGCTTCAGGCACTAGTGTGAGCATGCTTCAGACAATAGTGTAAGTATTTCTTTTTTTAAGTTTTTTATTTATTTTACTTTTGGCTGTGCTGAGTCTTCGTTGCTGTATGTGGGCTTTCTCTAGTTGCAGCGAGAAGGGCTCATCTTCATTGCCATGCAGGGGCTTCTGATTGCTGTGACTTCTCCTGTTGTGGAGCATGGGGTCTAGGCACGCAGGCTTTGGTAGCTACAGCATATGGGCTCAGTAGCTGTGGCTGCCCGGCTCTAGAACACAAGCTCAGTAGTTGTGCCACACCAGCTTAGTTGCTCTAAGGCATGTGGAATCCTCCCTGACCAGGGATCGAACCTGTGTCCCCTGTATTGGCAGGCAGATTCTTATCCATCGTACCACCAGGGAGGTCCTAGTATAAGCATTTCTGTGCAGTCCTCTTACACTCAAGAGTCAGAGTTGCTTCTGGTGGTTTTTGCCCTTGCTGCCACAGTCTTTTTACCTTTTAATTATGAAATTTAGGTGATTAGTCACTTGTATTTTCAATAAGAAGGTAAGACACACACATACTAAGAAGGCAGTCAAGAAAAAGTCACACAGGGAGGTGAATGGCAGACTTAAGATGGTTCAGATGACAGGCTGATCTGGTGATGATGTTTTGGGTGGGGACCCAGAAGCTACCAGCACCCAGACCACCCCAGTGCTTTGAAGCAGGAGAAACCGTGTGAGAAGGGGTCTCCATCCAGCTTTCTACGTTTGGGTTTTCATTATTAACTGGACCATAGGGACAGAGTGGACTCTACAGTACAATATTCTGTCCTCCTGGCAAAAGGAGTATCGTGGACATTTAATCATCACTCTTCCCAGCAGATAGGAAAGATTAATGTGGTTAGGTAGTAAATGGAAGGAGGAAACTCATTCTGAGGCTTTGTCATCAGCTGACTTTCTGGCTCCCAAGTCTTTGCTCAGGCTATTTAAAAATATTTCTCTCTAAAAAAGTACCCTCTTAGAGAAAAGGCAGGAGGAGCGGTTAGGGTTGTCTGGGGATCCAAGCTCAGTATTCTCTTTGAAACCAGGTTCATGACCCAGAGACTGCAGGAAAGGAACTGGAAACTCTTTTGGGATATTAATTGAGAATGGCTGTTCCAAACATTTGCCTTGTGAGAAAGACGATGGAAATTCCCAAAGACTCCTTGGAGAAATACCTCAAAGACTTACTGGGGACCCAACCCACAGGTAGTTAAGTCTCTGCATTTTGGTAGAGGCTAGGCTTTCAGCCTGGCTCTCACTTTCTATCCTAGTGGAATATGCTGGAGATAAAGATGCCATGTGGTGAAGAAAATAGCCATTGGGCCCTGCAGACCTGGGTGCTGCTCTGTTTTGCTTGGGAGGAAGCACTGACCTCCTTTTCTATGGGTCCCTAGAGCGTACATGGCCCTTGTTCCATGTGAGACTGTGGCGTGGCAGCAGTCACCTGCAAACAGCTATCCTGGGGGAGAAGAACTTGCAGTATGTGCCTGGGGTGTTTGGGTCTTTCTGATATTTTTGAGATGACAGCCTGTTTTGTGAAGGTGACTTAAAAGTTGCAGGAGTTTAAAATGAGAAACCATCTCTTCATAGGTTGCTGTCTCATTTTTCACATTCCACCCTCAGAAAAACAGGTCATTCATGAGCTTTTGAAGAAACTTCTACCTGGGCATAAAATTTGGCCTCCCCTGTTTGATCCTTGAAAGTTCTCTTTCTTTGCATGTAGCTTCAGGTGAGGATGTTTTCTAGTGATCGGATTGTTCCTAGAGCCTCTACAGAGCTGAGGGACCATTTTGAATCAGACCAGAGTTTGGGTAAACTCCGCGAGTTGCTGATGAACAGGGAGGCCTGGCATGTTGCAGTCCATGGGGTCTCAAAGAGTTGGACACAACTGAGCAACTGAACTGAACTGAACTGAGCCAATTCAGACAAACTACCATTTCTTGCTCCTTTGACCAAGTGAAACGAATCTGTGTGTACAGTTCAAATCATTGTAAGACTAGGGTCAATTAGGCTGTTTCTGCAAGGGAGCCTCAGAGTTTAATCTTTGTGGCGGGAAATCACATCTCCCCAAAGCTGCTTTGGTTTGAGCTGTAGCCTCTGCATAGCTCCTTTCCTTGGTGTAGCCAAGTATGAGGTGAGGGACACACAAGGGCATTTTTCATCCTTGGCTTAAATTATTCCAGTTAGCAAGATGGGTTGCCATGACTGTGCTTGTGGTTGATAAACAGAACTATAAAGCTTTTCTTTACGGTGCAGGAGTTGGCAAGATGGACAAAATTGGATACCTGTGCAAGTGAAAATTGTTGTGGTGTAAATCCAGTGGCCTTTGCCACGCTGCAGCGTGACATCCTGGACCGAAGCTGGCGTGGGGGGTATGCCTGGGATGCAGTCCTGTCTGGTACCCAGGAAGGAGATGCTTTCCTTACAGTGCATTCCAAATCAGGATGCTCTGTGTCCATGTACAGTACTTCTTAGAAAGAAAGAATCTCTAGTCCACATCTGTCCTCCAGAGCTGGTTTGAGTTTTCCTTTCTTTCAAACTTACAGGCCCATTGGAATGCCTTCAGTTTGATCACGGGCAGTCAAATCCCACCTACTGTGTCAAGTTGGCTACTCATCAGCTGATTCTGAGGAAGAAACCCCTGGGGACACTTCTTCCATCCACGCATGCAGTAGAGACGGAGTTCAGGTAAATTCTCAGGGTGTGTGTGTGGTGTGGGGCGTGCTCGCCATCTCTAGCCTCCATAGCCCCACCCCTGGGCTGGCAAGTCAGTGCCCCATCAAAGTGCCTTGAGACATTTAAAATTACAAGTATGACTTTCCAGAATTATTTTAGATAAGAACATGTCACCTAATTATATTCAGGAGATTGTTTTTTCTCTTTTCTCTGTCTAAACCACTAGGAGGCTAGAAATTTTTGGAATTCTGTTAGTGGGGCTTTAGCCCAAAGAAGCATGGCCTTTAATTGACAGTTATTGAAACTGGAGGATTCATTATGTGAATACCTCTACGTTTTAGAAAAAAAACTGAAGTATAGTTGATTTACTTGTGTTAATTTTTGGTGTACAGCAAAGTGATTCAGTTATTCAGTGTATATACACACACACATAAGTATTTTTTATGCAGTTTATTTACTTATTTTATTATTTTTGGCTGTACTGGGTCTTCGTTTTGGTGCACGGGCTCTTCTTTGCAGTGGCTTCTTCTGTTGCAGAGTGTGAGCTCTATCTAGGGCACGTGAGCTTCAGTAGTTCTGGGGTGTGGGTCTGATTACTCCGAGGCATGTGAGATCTTAGTTCTTGGACCAGGGATGGAACCCCTGTCCCCTGAGTTGGCAGGCAGATTCCTAACCACTGGACCACTAGGCAAGTCCCTAAAGAATGTCTCTTATAAACAGTACCTATTAGGTCTTGTGTTTCTATCTGGTAGGACAATTTTCGTCTTTTAATCAGAATGTTTACTCTATTAAATTTAATGTAATTATTGGTATGTTTGACTTAGGTCTGTAAATGAACCATTTTTTGTTTGTCTCATCTGTTTTTTTGTTCTCCTTGCTTTCTTTGGTCAATTGAATTTTTTAAAGAGTTCCATTTTAATTTATGCATTTATTAATTTTTAAATCAGAAAATAATTTCAAGAAAATTTCATCACTTCAGCCAGAAGTTCATACATTTTTCTTGGCAGGATGATGGAAGCCCTTGTAAATGCTGGAGCCCATGTGCCCAAAGTTCGTCATCTCTGTGAAGATTCAAGGTAATGTCCAGATTTACTTTTTATGTTGTATACTCAAGGTACAGAAGAGAAAAGCCCATATAATAACTCTAATTTCAGTTTTCTAGAGTAAAGAAAAATAAAATTTTGGTAGAAGAGGAAGGAGATTTTATAGGAACCTCCCGTTTGGTAGAAAACATCTTTTTTTTTTTTTTTAAACATTCTAGAAATATATTTCCATCAAGTTGCATGTTATTTGTTTTTCTTAGTTTTTTTATTGTGGCTTTCTAAGCATCTAAAGTTGCTTTGTAATATGCTTTTTAAAATAATTTTGTTGATTTTTGGCTGCACAGGGTCTTCGCTGCTGCACTGTCTTTAGTGGTGGAGAGCGGGAGCTACTCTCTAGTTGTGCACAGGCTTCTCACTGCGATGGCTTCTCTTGTTGTGGACCACAGGGTCTAGGGAGCGGGCTTCAGTAGTTGGGTCTCTCAGGCCCCAGAGCATGTGAGCTTCAGTAGTTATGGCACACGGGCTTGGTTGCTCCATGGCATGTGGCATCTTCTAGGACTAGGGATCAAACCCATGTCCCCTTCATTGGCAGGCAGATTTTATCCATTGCACCACCAGGGAAGTCCCTGTAATATGCTTTTTAAGTCTGTGTCTTTTTTCTCAATTTTTAAATTATGAAAAATGTGAAATTTACAGAGTAGTTGAAAGAAGAAAAAATAGCATAATAAGCACCCACTTACACTTCAGCTAGATGGAAACATTGTTAACATTTTGCCATATTCGCTTTCTATATATGTGTATGTATGTATGTAAGTGTATTTTATATATATAAATTATAGAAATAGTAATATTTACATAGTAACAAAATAATTTTATAAAGTAATATTGTCTTATAACACTTAATAAATTTTGTTAAATAATTATAAAGGATTACTTTGTAAAATATATATATGTATGCATATATATATATATTTTTTTTTATTTTTGTTTTTATATATTTAATTTTTTTTGCTGTGTTGTGTGGCATGTGGGATCTTAGTTCCCTGACCAGGGATCAGACCTATGCCTCCTGCATTAGGAGTGTGGACTTTTAATCACTGGACCATCAAGGAGGTCCCAATAAGTATCTTTTTAATAAATTTATATAAGTAAGATTGAACCTTTAGAAGTAAGCTGCAGGCAGCATACATCTCCTAAAAATAAAGATATTTTCTTTCATAGCAGTATTACATTTAAGATAATTAAAAAGAATTGTATAACCTAATATCTTGTCCATGTTCAAGTCAGGATAAACAGTCCTAATGGTAGAATTTTCAAAACAACTTTTTAAGAGTACTAAGCTGATTTCTAGGAATGATGAAGAGATGGATTAACGACATTTTGGTGTGACACCTTGATATTAGAGTGGTATGTATGCCATTCACACCACTGGATAATGATGAAATTATATCTAACGGGAAGGGATACTTATAGAAACTTCACTGGAGCCAGACACATTCCAGATACTCCATATATAAATTTTATCCCTTAATTCTTATAACTGCCCCTTGAAGATTAAGAAAAACAAGCTCAGAGAGGTTTACTATGTTCCTCAGGATCACACTGTTAGGAAAGGCAGAGGTGGGACTTAAGCCTGGTTCTGTGTGACTCTGACCCCCTCTCAACAGCTGCTTTCCTATATTATCACACTTAATCCCATTCTGATGCCTTCTACAAGTGGACCAAAGAGAAGAGAGGCATGCTGGCAAGGGAGTGTAAACAGGGTGTGTGTGTGTGTGTGTGTGTGTGTGTGGATTGATTTGGAGAGGGAGTACTTCTAACCTCTGCTTATATGCAGAGGAAAAAGGAAGTTTCCAGTACTCCCACCCAGCACTCAGAACTTACACACAGGACAGAACAGTGCCCTAACTAACAGCCTGCCACATCACAGGCCACTGAAATACCCTGTTTGTGTCCCCCCCAGCATGGTTGGCAACCCCTTCTATCTGATGGAATACTGCCCAGGCCGCATCCACAAAGACCCCTCTCCGCCAGGCTTGGAGCCCAGCCAGAGGTGGGCCATGTACACTGCCATGAACAGAGTCTTGTGCAAGATTCACAGTGTGGACCTCAAGGCTGCAGGCCTGGAAGACAATGGGAAACATGGTGAGCACGAGGCCCCTTGTCTTCTGTGCTGATGTTTCCTCACTGGTCCTCTGCTTTCTGGATTTGGATGGTATCAAGGTATTAATGCATCAACCTTTGCTAATTGTGAGGTGGGCTTGTTAGTTTCCTGCTTAGAAAGCCCATTTCATTTTGTGGAGGTGTTGCTTACCTAGACATTTTGTCCAGGGATAAATACCTTCATGAACTACAGAATCTCTCCTCCCTGCAATTTTTATCTCACTGTATCATTTAAACCTTTCTTTTTTCTGATTGCCCAAAGGTAGTTAAGATACCTACTTTTTTCTCTGTTTTCTGCCCTTTCCCATAAATATTCTTTTTAACAGGGATAGATTTTAAAAACTTCATTGTGCCAAATATTTGTTTATATAATTTGCTTCTACTTTTTTCTTTTCTTTTTTTGTAACTCAATTTGAGTTCCTACTCATTCTTGTGAGCATTTGTTATCATCAGGTTTTTTGTTTTCTTTTTTAAAAAATCAGATTTATTGAAGTATAGCATTTTATGAATTTTGACAAATGGACACGATTTGTAGGTTTGTTTGTTTTTGGCTGCATTGAGTAGCATAGAGAATCTTAGTTTGCTGACCAGGGATTGAACCCATATCCCCTGCAGTGGAAGCCTGGAGTCCTAAGCACTGAACTGCAAGGAAATCCCCCACAAATACACAGTTTATAATCCACACACAGTTTTCCCCGTGCTTTTGCATGTTGAATCTTTACTGTGAGCCAAAAAATTGTACTTCTGCCCTGCAGAGTTCAAGATTATCTAACTCTTGACCAGTTTGCATTCCTGTGGCTATGGGTAACTGCTCAGTCATGTCCAACTCTTTGCAACCACATGGACTGTAGCCCTCAGGCTCCTCTGTCCATGGGATTTTTCAGGCAAGAGTACTGGAGTGGTTTGCCATTTCCTTCTCCAGGGGATCTTCCTGACCCAGGGATTGAACCTGTGTCCCCTGTGTCTTCTGCATTCAGGATTCTTTACCATTGAACGACCTGGGAAGCCCATGCATTCCTAGCTGTGGTCAGAAAGAATCTCTCAGCTAAGCTGTATTTTCTTCTTTCTCTACATTTAACAAAAATACCTATGTTTTCTGTAGGATCATATCAAGGGCTGCAGTGTGTGTTCAGTGTATGTCAACTTCCTGACATACTTCTACCAACTTACCTAAAATTCTTTCACTCTATAGACACATAATCTGAATCCTCAAAACTGACAATTTGAGACACTTTGCTACCACAAAGCAGGCTTGCCAACTTCCAGCCCCAGTTGAGGGGGTTCTCCACACCTTCCAAGTACATCCAGACCCCTATCATCCTCCCATATTTTAACCTGTTGACCAGAGTTACAAACTTTGTCAGTGTTGCCTCTGTTTGGTGGTCTCAATGGAAAATATTTACAATAAAACTTTTTTATTATTTATCTGAAATTCAAATTTAACTGAGTATCCTGTATTTTATCTAGGAGCTTTAGTTACTAGTAAAATAGCCATTAGGCAAAGACAACAGATGTTGCCTATATTGATCCATTATTTCAGGATGGAAAGAGCCCTGGACAAGAAGTCAGGTGCTGATTTGTGGGCTGACCTTGGGCAAGCCCCATTATTTTGTCTGTTTTCTCAAGAGTAGAGGTTATGTAAAAAAGCCCTGCCCTGCCCCCCTCACAGAGCTGATGTGAAAAGCAAGGGAGATGGCAGCTGTCCCAGTGCTGTGAATGGAGATAAAGCCTCTGTCACATGAAGCAATGGGCAGTGTGACATTGCATCCTGCAATGGAAAGAGAACAGTTTAAGGAGGGCCCTCCCACATGCTAAGTGTATCCTTTGCCTTTTAGTTTTAAAGTGCTTTTTACAGTGACCTATTAGTGTGACAAAGAGACAAAGTAGAAATAAGGTATCATTTTTTGTGACTCAGGACCAGGCTGTGTTTTGAGCCTGACAGCATAAAGCAGCTTCCTCAGATTTCACATTCACTGATCCAGCTAAAGGGGCATCAGATCTTCCTTTTCAAGAATCCTGCAATCTCTAGAGTTACGTCAGAAGCCCAGCTGCTGGGCAGGGCATTGGCTATATATAGCTATTCTGCCATCTGTGTAAAATGAGTGTACTTAAAATTTGAATAAATATAAATGTTTGTTTGCTGAAGTGAAAAAAAAATCTCTGAAAGGACACAAAAGACTGGTCATGTTGGTTGCCTTTGGGGAAATGAGCTGAGTGGCTGAGCAAAGGGGTGGGAGAGCCTTTCCTGCACCCCCTTTGTCACTGTAATTTCAAGGCATGTGAATGTATCATTTAATCAAGAGAAAACATTTAAATTTTTTTTAGGCACACGAAATGATCTAATCAAAAGGGACTTTTGACAAAGATGCTTTAGGTCCAGTCTAGTTATCATACAGAACCTTTCCACCAAGGACCTGCAGAGAGCATAATTCCCTTTTCTCATCCCAGAGGGCAGGCTGCTTTGGGGAGGAAGGGCATTAGTGCTTGGCAGGCTTGCTCAGGACCAGCAGCCAACAGAGCAGAGACACAGGGACAGCTGCACCTGCTTCCCATGAGAAGGGAGTGCGCGCAGCACCGGGGTGGTGTGTGCATGGGGGGCGGGGACATCCTAAATCCATGTAGGAAGTTAACCCGAGGGGCTCCTTCAACAAAGGTTCAGCTCCTGGAGGCTTTAGTATTTGATTTCTTATGATAATTTTCAAACTTATAGAAACATTCAGTAGTGCTGTGAATAACTATATCCCGTGACTGATTTTAACAATGATTAACTTTTGCCATGTCTGTTTATCTTTCTCTTTCTGCATCTATCTATTTGCACAATTAACAAAGTGGTAGAGACCCTGACACTTGACTCCTGAGTGCTTCAGTATGCCTTTCCTAATAATAAGAACATTTCAAAGTACCATTATCACAACCAAGAAAACTCATCGTTTTCCCTAATATCTAAGACCCAATCCATATTCACATTTCCTCATTATTCTCCATATATCTTTTATAAGTGAGGTGGTTTTTGGTTTGTTTTTCAAGTCAGGATCTGATCAAGGAACCAAGAACAGTACCCCCTCTTTTTTTTTTTTAATAAATTTTTAAAGGGACCAAGTCAGTTGTCTTATGATTTGTCTTGATTATTACTTTATGGTTTCATTTACTACTTTGGACTTCTTGTAATTCCAAAAATTGAACTCTAGTAGTTCTAAAGGCTTGATTATATTTTGAGTTAAAACCTTTCATAGGGACTTCCCTGGTGGTCCACTGTCCAAGACTCCACTTTCCCAGTGAAGGGGGTCCTTGTTCCATCACTGGTCAGGAAACTAGATCCCATGTATGATAACTGAGAGTTCACATGTGACAACTACAAATCCCACGTTCCATGATAAAAGATCCACCCTGCCACACCGAAGATGGAAAATCCTCTGTGCCACAACTAAGACCTGGGACAGCCAAATAAATAAATATATTTTTTTAAAGATTAAAAGAAAAGAAAACATATCATGTCTAGAGTGAGTTATGTGATGATGATAAATGTGTTGATCTAGACAAAATGGTACCCAGAAACTAGCCATTAATCCAATCCCCTGTGACACTGTTATCAACATCATGGCAGGGCTCCCTTTAGCCCAATACGACAGCATAAGTGCTTTGGGGAGTTCCTGATTAATTTAGTTTATTTAGGAAAAGAAGAGATAAAGAGCAGGAAGCAGGCCAACTGAGTCTAACTTCTGGCTCCCAGCCCATGGAATGTAAGCTTGGACCCATCTCCTCCCTATGACCCGGATCCTTGTCTGTAAAGTGGGGATTAAAACACTCGTGTGTAGCTCCAGGAATTCAGTGAGCTATAATAACGCATGTCAGGCACTTAGCACCAAGTCTGGTACATGTCAAGTGCTCAGCAGTGGTAGTAGCTGCTGATGGAACAATAATACTGTTACATGTTAGTACTATTAAGGGTTGTTGGCGGGGTGGGGGGGCGGGGTCTCATTGGTTTTCTTTGCCTCTGCGTAGGGCAAGCAAGCTCGGCGACTGTGAAACAAACTGGAAAGCTGACTGAATTCATGTGTAACCTGGCATGGGATTTTCCAGTCAAAGAGGGGTTCAAGGTTTTCAAGGAGATGCTGGCCACCAAACCATTAATGGGGTCCCACTACTCATGGTCCAGGCCACAGTCCCTGCTGAGGACCCCAGGCACGAGGAGTTATGTCACCTCCACAGACTCTTCTCCAGCTCGTGCCTCAAAGGGAGCTCTGATCTTCTCTCCAGAAGGCCTTTCCCCCCAAGTCAGGGAGCTGTATCAGCGGCTGAAGGAGTTTATGGAGCGACACGTGTACCCCGCTGAGCCAGAGCTGCAGCGTCACCAGGCATCGGCTGAGAGGTGGACCCCCTCCCCGCTGGTCGAAGATCTCAAGGTGAAGCAGCCTTTCATTAGCACAGCCCAACCTCAGCTCATCCACTGGCCATATCTGTTCCTTCTTAGGCAGTGAAGAGATGGGAGAGTTGAGTTCAGTGGTCTCTGCTTTCTGCCACCACTAGAAAGTCAGCCCTAGATCACTCAGTTTCACTTCATTGCTCTTTCTGTGTGACCATGTCTCGGCCTGATACTCAGCTCAGGCAGAGAAATGCCAAGTCTATGGCTTATAACCCTGAAGAGCGTGGACTCATTTTATGCATGTCTGAATCATGTAAATTTGAGACTAAGTGATATAAATTGCATCAATTAAATGACGCTCTCTACAAAGAATCCATAACATCAAACCTAAAGCATCACATCAACTATAAACTATGTTTATGCTCCTGACAAACAGTGACATCATTTTAGTGGATAATGGAAATACCTGCTGTTCTTTTTCAGGATTGGTCTTGCCTTGTGTTAGTTCTTAAGTTATCTGAGGTCTTTAGGAGCACATATTCTGCCTATGATGCAACCATCACCTACATTAAAAAGAAACATCATTGAATTTTGTTCATAGTTATAAACCTACTGCAAGGTAACCAGAGCTCAAACATGGCAAGAGTAGAAAGAGTTCATGACCTAGAAAGAATTCTCTAAAATTCTTGGGCCTCTGAAATAATCACTGTCAACAATTTGATCTATAGGCTCCCAGCTCCTTTCTTCTGGTACATAATAATACATATTATTATTATCATTCCTGTTGTAATGAAAATGTTTTATGCATTTGAATCTTCCAGTTGTTTTATGTTATTTAATGATGTATCCCATGTCAGTGCCTGGGGTCATCTCCACATTGACCACATTGGGGGTGCACCATAATTTATCCACCCTGCCCCTGCCTGAGTTACACTGTGGGGATCTCAGTCTAGGTCACTCCGGGTCACTGAAGCAGCAGAGTGAGCAGCTGGTTGCTAACATGGACAGGGAGGCTGAAGACAGCTGAAGGAGACAGTAGAAGCCAAGGGAAGGCCGGCTCTCGGGAGCCTGGCCATGACCGTCACTAGGGCAGTGGCCGGATGCATTCTCAGGACTCCAAGATTGAGTTGGGAATTTTCAGCCAGTCATGTGTAGGTCCCGTGCTCACATCTTCATGCCACTGAAATGTCTACAGTGAGAGAGCACCGTAGAATAAGAAGGGGTTTGGGTCCTGTGCAAGCAAAGGGTATCGAATGGTGTTACGTACTTCTGTGTTCACTTCCTGTTTCTACAGTGTCAGTTTTTTAAAAAAATATTTGTTGCTCTGGGTCTTCTTTATGGTGCACAGACTGTCTCTAGTTGTGCTGCACATTGACTTTTTTGCTCTTGTTGCAGCACATAGGCTCAGTAGTTGTGGCCCATGGTCTCTAGAGTACACGGACCTTAGAGTGCTGAGGCTTCTCTAGTTGCAGCCTGCCGGCTTTGTTGCCCCACAGCACATGGGATCTTAGTTCCCCCACCAGGGATCGAACCTGTGTCCCCTGCATGCAAAGGCAGATTCTTAACCACTGGTACCAGGGAAGTCCCAGCATGAATTCTTTGAAGTAAAAATTCTGGTCCAAGGATAAGAACATTTTTAGTTGTTGTTTGTTTGGGTTTATTTGAACTGCACCACGTGACTTTTGGGATCTTAGTTCCCTGAATAGGGATCAAAGTTAGGACCCTGCAGTCCTAACCACTGGACTGCCAGGCAATTCCTGAATGAGACCATTTTAAGTTTTGACAGATACTGCCAAATGTATATCAGAAAGTTGCTTGCCATTCTATGCTCCCATTGTTACCTTGTGAAATGTCCTATCCCCCACCTGCTGACCTGCACACTTAACCCTCACCCATTAGATGTACCCGTCTCATGCACGGACGTGTGGGAAAAGGAGACAGTCATGCTGTGAACATTTCTAGACTTGAAAATGAGTGCCTATGAAAAATCTGCTTTAGAGAACATTCAGCATGTGGTCATACCTGAATGGGAATCATGACAACTAAGATTTTAGGGGAGAGTGGTGAAATTATGGCTCATAGCTTTTATTCAGTGTCATTACTACCAATAAATAAGAATGTTTGGCATTTACACTGCATCTCACTAATCTTGTGAGGTAAGCATCATGAACCTTGATTTAAAGATAAGCAATCAAGTTTGCCAGGAACACAGCTAGAAAAAATAGCACTTGGACTCATCCAGATCTTCTGGGCTCAAATCTATGTGTTTTTCCCTCTCATAAGATGATTCTATTCATTTCCTTACTCTTCCTTTTCTCAGAACTCCCTTGCTTCCCTTTCTATTCTCCCTTCCTTACCTGCTTCATTTGTTCCAATTAATCTGTCCTCCTTCTCCTTGGTCACTGCAGTCTCAGCTGATTAGCTTAACACAGCCATGAAACAAGTGTATGTGCTGATTCTAGTAGTATGTGTCCTAGAGAGCAGTCCCAATGTGATAGGAAAGTCAGCCAGGTGGTGCCCTCCCAGTGGGAAGAATTTCCATCATCATTAATATTTAGTGCAGCCCCAGCTTCTGAGTCTAGCACACTACATATATTCTGTCGCTACCTGGAACCGAAAGAGTGAAATGTTTTCGAGAGGGAAAACAGCTGGCACTCACTTACTGTACAGCTGGACTACAGAACATCTGTCCTGCTGCCATTCTTTACGCTGCCTTGGTTCCTGTCCATTTCTGAGCCTCCTCCTCTAATTTGAGCTCCTAATAACCTTCCCACTTGGATGCTTTTTCCAGTCAGTCAGTCACCTCCATCCCTACTCTTGCTCAGTAGCTGTGACTGGTAGGGTGAGTGGTGACCGTCCCAATTCAGCAGATGAGGAAACTGCCACGGGGAGCTCACCATCTTGCCCAAGGTCTCCCAACAGGTGTGGTGGGGCAGGGCTTGAACCAGGCAGTCTGACTCAGGGCCTGGGTTCCTGACCCCCAGGCTACGCTTCCTGGTTTCCCTGTCAGGAGCTACATTCAGAAACCCAGGGTTACTTCCCCAGGAACAAAGTTGTGCCTCATGAAGAAAGCTGATCAGGGGATCTCGTTGGGCACCTCATCAGAGCAGCTGAGGCTGCTGCCAGATGTCCTGGCCAGTTCCCTGCAGGCACACTGAAGGACCCTTCTTTCTCTGTGTTATGGAGCGAATTTTATGCTGCAGCGTGATGACAGTAATGATGCTAACAGTGAGGGGGTGGGGTAGGTGGGGCATCTGGGATACAGACACAAGGAAGTGAACTGATTGCCACCATCCCTGTTAGGAATGGGCCGTCCCCAAACTCTTCTGTTCTCCTCTCACAGATCTGAGGGGTTGTATCCAGCCTGGTGGTCTGGACTTACTCACTATTTTCCATGGGCCAAGATAGCATGACAACCACCCTGTGTGGATCCCTGATTTCCTTTTTGCTGTGACAGGAGAAAGCCAAGGCCGAAGGACTTTGGAACCTTTTCCTACCCCTGGAAACTGATCCCGAGAAGAAATACGGAGCAGGGCTGACCAATGTGGAGTATGCACATTTGTGTGAGGTCATGGGCATGTCTCTGTATGCTCCCGAGGTACCTTCTTTACCGTCTTCCTCAGCCTGGGAGGAAATCCGTGTCCTCCACAGAGTTCAGCTAGCTTCCTGGGCTGACGGGGTTCCCTGCAGCAGCACTGGATCCAGGAGCTCTGACACAAACTCAGACTTCTTATGAGTGAAGACAATGCAGGCAGGGGGCTGGAGCCAGAGCAGGAAAGGAGCAGGGAGTGGGCATCTTCTTGAGTGAGCACAGCCTGGCTGGCTTCTGTGGAGCCTCAGTCCACCAGTTCTAGTCTCCTCCTTCTCTCCCAGAAAGCTCTGTGGTTGAGCTTAGGTACTCCGAGCTGCTGTACTCACAATGTCCTGGGTCTCTGCATCCTTGGGGAGAGGAAGGACTTTCATAAGGGTGTCAGAGGGCATGTATCTTGGAAGGAGCCCTGGTTCATGCTTCTGGGGAATTGGAAGTTTTGAATATGATAAGGAAGTCACCTTTGTGTTTTTTCTCCTTTCCAGATCTTTAACTGTTCTGCTCCAGACACGGGGAACATGGAGCTTCTGGTTCGATATGGCACCGAGGAGCAGAAGGCCCGCTGGTTGATTCCATTGCTAGAGGGAAAGGCTCGCTCCTGTTTCGCTATGACTGAGCCCCAGGTACCTACCTTGGGTCACCCACAGGCGCTCCTCATCAGGCCAGACCCTCACCCGGCCCCATCGGGCTCTGCCATCAGGGACCTCAGGACCCTTGCCAGCTCTAATCAGAATGTGCTCTCACTCAGGTCGCATCCTCCGATGCCACCAACATCGAGTCTTCCATCCGAGAGGAAGATGGCTTCTATGTCATCAATGGTCACAAGTGGTGGATCACAGGTATTTGCCCTGAAATTCATTTTTCAATCACATTTATGTGGGTCTGCCCTGATAAGATGACTTCTCTGTCCTGCTGTTGTGTGACAGACTGTGAGAGGGACTAGCCTCATTTCCAGTTAACACAAAGGAGATTCTGTCTCTGTTCCCAGAAGAGGCAACAAACCCTGAGAGAACCAAAGGTTCTACATGGACTCCAGGTGACCCCACAAGTGACAGTTCCAGGAATCTCTCCTCTACTCCCCACTCTTCATTCTGCCGTGGGCGTCTCCCTTTAGACAGGCCAGAGGTCACTTCTTCAATGGTGTCCCCCTCTAGTGAGGTCAGCTGTGCTATAGCAGAAGGGCTGGTGATAATCCTATCATTCACTAGGTTTTAACTCTCTAGGGCCCCCAGTACATGCTGTGGGGACCTTCCCTCACTGAGTCTCCACCCTTCCCCAGAAGGCCTGTGGTATTATCCCCAGTTTACAGGGAAGGAAACTAGGATGGAGAAATGACTTGAGTCACTGCCCAAGGTACTAGCCCCCCAACTGGCAAGTAGGGAACCACCCAGAGTTCAAGGCTGGCCTGACTCTGAAGCCTGTGCCCAAAGCTAGCATGTTTCCACCTCCTTTGGGAACAAAGCAGAACAGGCTGCCACTGATAAAGTAGCAGTTTTCAGCCTCTTTTCTCCAAATTATATTTTCATACTGACGTGTTTAAAAAAACAAAACAAAACTGTTCTTAGGATGTTGGATTTCTTCCTCACTGGGACAGAAACCAGTTGCTCTTATTGCTGGTCAAAGGGCTACATGGCCTCATGTGATCACGTGACATCTTAAAGGGCCCCATTTTCTTGCTGACTTCAGCGTCTCTGGGCCAGGACTGAGTGTTTAAGGAGAGCTGATGGCCCTGGTGTCAGATGATGGGGGTCTGTCTCTCTCCTTTCCTGGCAGGTATCCTGGATCCTTGCTGCCAGCTCTGTGTGTTTATGGGAAAAACAGACCCACATGCCCCACGCCACCAGCAGCAGTCCATGTTCTTGGTTCCCATGGATACCCCAGGGATAAAAATCATCCGACTTCTGAAGGTGTATGGGCTGGAGGATGCACCAGGTTTGTCCCTTGCTAGCAGCTCGCTTCTCTGTGTGGGTCTGGGTCTGGGGAAAAGGCTTTGGACAGCAGTTGCTCCAGTGCAGAAGTAATACCTGTAAGAGTCTGAGGACATTTGGAAGGCCACGTGCTCCTGCATTTCAGTTCCATCCATGAATATCAACCATGCAGGCAAGCTTCAGACAGGCATTCATCTGTTTCTTTTTTTTTTCTCTTCTAATCATAGAAGACAAGCAGGACTCTGGGAGGTAAGGAGGCCACAGAAGATGGAGCAGGAGGCAGACCCTCCAGACCTTTTCTTGTAGACCAGAGCGTGGACAGCCTGTCTCCCAGCCTGGAGGTCCTTTCACAGGGGCTCTTTCTCTGCTGATGATGTCCACATTTTGACTTCAGAGTTTTTTTTCCTAGGGTCACTACACTGTGAGAGTTACAGACTACTAGGAGTTCCAGTTTAAGTTAGAGTCACATTTTATGAAAGGAATGCCAAATTATTCATTTGACATTTTAAATTACCAATTTACTTTCCATCTTCAATAGTCTTATTCCTGCCTTCCATCCTCCTTTAATCATATTCCAGTTAGAAGTCTACAAAAGGGCAGGGATATTGCCAGCAGATGAGATAAATGCATCCTGAGAAAACAGGAAAGCGGATTGCTCAGGGGTACTCTATCCGTTTTTACAGGTGGCCACAGTGAAGTCCTGTTCGAGCAGGTATGCGTGCCCAAAGAGAACATGGTCCTGGGCCCCAGCCGGGGCTTGGAGATCCTCTTAGGCCGACTATGCTCTGGCAGGATCCATCACTGCATGCGGCTGATTGGCTGCTCGGAGAGGGCGCTGGCGCTCATGAAGGCCCGAGTAAGTACTTCCCTTTCCGCCTGTCTCTGGACCAGAACGACCCATCTGTCTTCCTCTCAGACTTCTAATCCTGTTTCCTGAGAGCAGACTTAGCAGGTGAAGCAAGGTGATGTTCTTTACAAGAAGCTGTGTCCTTGTGTTTGCTCTGCCTCTTTTACTTTGCTGAAGTTTCAAATTCAGAGCAGAATGGGCCTCGCTCTGTCAAGGGGACAGAAGGAAAAGGCCGGGCTCTGTGGCAGCAGAGGACAAGGTTCCAAGATCCACAGGGTCATGGTCTACTGATGACCATTTCTGCTACCAGCTCATCTTTAAAAACCAGATAACATGGAGAACTTGGGGTTCCAGCATCCAGCCCTGAACCATCCTCCTCCCCCAGCACACCCAAAACTTTCTTCTTCTGTGACCCCTCAAAAGTTGCAAGCCCATACAAGAGTATTATTGCTGTGAACAGTGATTCAAATCAGTGAAACCAGTTTCATTCTGAAGTGATTTCAGAGTGAAACTTCAGACCGAATAGATGTCTCACAAGATAGTCTTAATAAAGAATAGCAACAGTTCAGGGTATCACATTACTGAGCAAAGTTGTGATTCAAATCCTTTTTAGTTGAAACCAGCCAGTTACTCTCTGACTCAGATATAGTCTCCATTCTCATCCTGCAGATCAATCTGACCTAATGTGTCAGAAATCTTAGAAGATGCCATAGTAGTGACGTAGCCATGCTACTCATTGGACTTGGTCGAAAGGGAATAATCAGGAATCTACGAAAAATTTGATACTAGGAGGTTCACCACAGCCATGATTATGTTAGGAAACACCTATAAGGCTAGCTATTGGGGTCTGGTTAAATAACCCTGCTATGGGCGTGCAGTGGAATTCCAAAATGATGCTGTAGAAATCTATTTGTTAACCAGAGAGATGTTCGCTGTATTCTAAGTGAAAAAAAAAAGGCTATAAATACAGAAAGAATGACTTAAAAAGCGGAGGTATGTACATGCATATAGAAAAAGTCTAGAAGGGTATGCAACAAATACTAAGTATAATTTACTAGATAATGGGGTGCTGGGTGTTTATATTTTATCTGAAAATGTATACTCTTTTCTGCCATGAGATATTCGTGTGTGTTGTAATTGTTTTTAATTTTTAAAAATAAGGTGGAAGATGGACCCCTCATCACCTTTTCTGATTGCTTGTAGCTTTTGAACACTACTCAATCTCTGTTGCAGTAACAGGTGCCCACAAGAGGGCTCTGGCACCCAGACTTTGCCCCTGAGAGTTCCTCAGGACGTGAAGCAGGCCCTGCTGTCAGTAGAGGGCGCCCTTCTGGCCTGTGTGAGGCGCCCACAGTCACTGCCTGGTTCCCAGAGCAGCCCTGGACCAGAAGCATCTCAGATCAAGCTCTGTCCTGCCTGGAGGCCAGGTCTGCCCAGATGGTGCAGAATGGCTGGTGTAAAGGGCTTGTGCAGATACTTTGTGCAGCTACCACGTGTCTAGCTTCCCCCGCCGCCCTCTCCTGTGCTCCCACCCTCTCCTCTGCAGGGCACCATCCATGCCTCCCATCCTGTCTCCTGTGTCCACAGGTGAAGTCCCGCGTGGCCTTTGGGAAGCCCCTGGTAGAGCAGGGCACGGTCCTGGCAGACATTGCCCTTTCCCGCGTGGAGATCGAGCAGGCCCGGCTGCTGGTGCTGAAAGCTGCCCATGTCATGGATGTGGCAGGAAATAAGGTAGGAGGCCGAAGGACCTCACAGAGGACAGGTCCAGAGGACACGGTGAGGGATGCCAGCCGGGAAATCTATTAATAGATGCTGACTCTTCCCTCCCCACTCAGCAAACCACAGAGAAAGTGCTTGGCTCCTTGACATAAATAACTTTGCTTCAACTCTCCTTGGAACTACCTGGGCAGCTTCTGAAAAACAGAAAAGGTACAATAAAGAGGACTGACCTTTCTGTTTTACTGACCCAGTGACCTTATGGGTTCAAGACAGCAGGGCCACATGGCCCCGGCCTGAGCTACAGCCCCACCTGATCTTACAGGCATCAGGCAAACTGAGAGTAAGCCATGGAGTTAGAGGAGAAGCTTCATTTTCAACGTGACATTATCATTTAAGTGGCTCTGAGTACCTCTGATGCCAGGAGTGGTGCCAGGTGTGATGCCAGGCCAACCCCTGCTTTCTCCATCTCTCCATGGGTCTCCAACCCTTAGCTGAGAGCCCTCGGTAGCAAGGGTGATCCAGGCTCAAATTCTGATTTCTTGGCTCTCTAGTGGCAGTATGAGGGCTCTCGGGGGCTTTGATGCAAATCCCAGACTCAGGGAAGATCCTTGAACCTAAATCCCCCAGAGTCCTGGCTGGCCTCGTTCCACCTTTCCCTTTGAATACAGAGCTGATCATGACCCTGAAGGAGGCTGAGGCCAGTCCCCACGCTGCACTGTGTGTGCAGTGATCCTGCCCGTCGCCTGGGAAGGTACTCCTTGTCTTTCCTTGACTAGGCAACTGACCACACCATGCAGCACCCCGAGTCACCTGCCTCGTCACCCCCCGCCCCCCCCGCCCCTCCACCCCATTGGTGCTGGGCAGGGTCCATGCACCAGGCAAGGCTTGTGGTCCAGAGGGAGGGACCTGAGGTCTCTGTTCTGAGCTGTTATTTCTACTTCTCCCTGTGAAACTGATCGATCTTCCACACATTCCACCCTGGGGTCTGCCCTCCTCACCACAGCTCCTCTTCCTTGCAGGCTGCAGCGCTGGATATTGCCATGATTAAAATGGTGGCCCCATCCATGGCTTCCTGA